CTACATATCTATACTTAATATTATAGAGGTAAAGTTTGTGATCTTGTGAGTTTGTGGGTTTGTGAGTGTGTGAGTTTGTGACGTTGTAGGGGGTAATCTCTGGATCTACTGAACCGATTTTCAAAATTCTTTTACCAATAGAAAGCCACGTTCTTCTTGAGTGTTATAAGCTATATATTAATACGAGAAATGAAAAGGCTTTTTCGTGGTAGTCGGATTTGCAAAGTAAGTCGGAGAAAAACGGTCGAACGAAAATGTTTCTTACGAACGCTGCCTTAACGATGAGAGATATATCATTATGTTCTAGAGAAAAATTGTAGAGCTTAATAATGCCTACAAAAAATCAGCGACAGCATAAGTCTAACTTTTATATTTAAGTCACAAAAAGTAGTTTTTTATATAAAAAAAATAATTTAAATCGGTAGGTCATGTTTATTGGTCATATTATCAACAATTACGAATTCTTATCAAAATTAGTAAATTTATCATCTAAAATATTTAAAACAAAAGACTTCCGTTTTACTGCATATAATTTGGACAAATGGTTAAAAAGATAATACAACATATTCGTAGGTATGGACGAATCCGAGCGAGCTGTTTGTCTGTTTTTCTGTTTGTACGGGCTAATCTCCGAATCTATTGGACCGATTTAAATGAAATTTTGCATGGTGGTACCTTATATCCCCAGGCAACATCTTAGATACTTTTCATCCCGGAAAATTAAATAGTTCTCGTGGGATAGTTAAAAAACTATAACAACTTATACAGCTTAGTACACAAAAACTACTGATTGGATTTTAATGAAACTTTACAATAATATAGTTCATAAATGAGAAAAAACAAATCAGCTGTCATCCTGGAAAATTAAAGAGTTTCCGTGGGATAGTCAAAAAACTATAGTAACTTATACAGCTTAGTACACAACAACTTACGCACCTAATTTAGTAAAATTTGGCATGCTGATACCTTATATTACCGGTCAAACAACAGGTTACTTTTCATCCCGGAAAAATAAACGGTTCCCGTGGGATAGATCTGTTTGTGCTTTTCTAGAGGTGAACCTGAGCGAAGCGAGAGTGAGCCGCTAGTGTTTATATAGATAATTTTATTTGTTTCGCAATAAATACTTAAAACAATTGACTAAAAAATACCCATTTTATTGGAAAAATAATTAGGGGCCTCCATTCCTTTGTTGCCCTAAGGCCTCAAGATCTCTAAATCCGGCCCTGATTGTACCGTTCAAACGGTAATTGAATATAAGCGATAAAATCAGTGTCAACACCTTAAATTAACCGTAAAAGTAGTAACAATAAAAAATTGTCAAGTGTGATTTCAACTAATGTTAATTTAAACTTACTCAATAAAAAAACACTATATCCATCGCATATTATTTGAAATCAATAATAGAGATGAAAAAAAAAATTAATGCTAATTCTTATAACATTCCGTTACTCAACTTACTATAAATAATATTGATCTGACGCTTTTTAGAAAATATTCCTAATCTACGAGTATATTAACATATAAAGCGAAAGATTATTTCATATTTTATGGAATGATTGATTCGAAAATTTCTTTTTACTTTTTAATGCTTATTTATTGAGAAAAAATGTACACATTATACAATTATGACCTTTAGAAAAATACTTTAACTGGGAAATTCAGTTATTAATACTTAAAAAAGTAGAGAAATATTTCCTTTGAGTGAAACTTGATATCTTAAATATTTAAGATACTTTTATGTCCCAATCGTTTCTTTCATCCTATATATAAAGTTATAAACTAGCGACTCACCCTCGCCCCGCTCGCTTTCGCCAATTAACGTTTAGTATAGATTTCTCAGAGATGAGATATTTTCCCGAAGTGAAAAGTATTCTATATAGACCCGGATAACCAGATATCGTCATACTCATGAAACTGACATGAAAATTCTAAAAACTATAGATTCGGTTTCTGTGTAGACTAATAATGACTATTTCAATACAAATTTCTAAAAATATTTAATGTACAGATTCGATTAAGTTAGAATTTTATTATGTTATATAGTCTACTTGGAGTCGTATGGTAAATCTGCAATGTTATATAATAATTATTTTAACCTTTCATTTGCACTCCATATTGAGATGAAGGCCGAAAAATTTGCAATGCTGCTGCAACTAGCAAACAACTCCGACCTGCATAATTAAACAGAGTGTGCTTGGATTTTGTTGGACATATGTCAATGTAATTTTTCAAATAGATCCAGTAGATCCAGAGATTACCGAGTTTAAGCAGACAAACTTTTCAGCTTTATATATTAGTGTAGATTGCCTATTTAAAAAAAAGTGCCCTAGAATAAGATTGAATCGTTGATTGTAATGCGCAGTAAAAGTAAGTTCTGTAGAACAATAAACCGATAAGATCACAAGGTTGGTAAAATACACAAATTTTATTGCGCCACAAAATTATTTCTAAAATTTTCAGAAAACATGGGGCAGTATTTTATTTGGACCCTAAAATAAATATTAGTACATGGTTCAAATACGTGAATAATTGGTTTAAAATTTCGTAGGTATTCTGTAAATACATAATTATAAAGAAATTGAATAAAAAAATATAAGTCCAAATTTTAAATGTAAGGTTTTATAAGAACTGTTAAAGTACATTTTGTTTCTCCGCATTTTCTTGGTATAAAATAGAGGTGCCGCCATATACCATCGCTACTTTTCTAACCTATCTCGTACTTAGGAGCTACTGTCAAATTTCCTATATCTAGTAAATCAGATGATCAAAACACAGGTTAATAATCTAGAGTCGAATCTGTACATTAAATATTCTTTGGAAGATCTTATTGAAATAGTAATATTATCGATACAGCGGCCATATGTATGGTTTTTAAAATTTTTGTCTGTCTGCCTGTCTCTGGAAACGTATCAGGAGAAAACCACTGGACAGATTTTGATAAAATTTAGTATGATGTTAGCTGGTTATCCGGGTCAACATATAGAATACTTTTTACTGCTGGAAAATATCTCATCTTTGAGAAATCTATACTAAACGTTAAAACGTAATCGCTAGTAGGTCACAAAATTTCGAAATTTTTGTATGAGTTTCGTTACATATAATTAATATTTGTATATTGCGAAAAGTCAGTAGGGACACGTATTACTAGTAATTCGATAAATAAACCCTTCTGTAATGCAGTTTTAGCGGAACGACTTGAAATTTAGAAATGATACCTAGCGTATAAGGTGGCTTGCACAAAATTGCATCAAGTGCGTCCGCTTCGTGTTGCAACACGGCATTTCTCTTTTGAAATTGTCATTTCGTAAGCTAGACAGACTTTAGCTCGGACTCTTAACATAATATTAGTTTATGACATGCAAATAAATTATGTTCTTCACAACGAACGAGCGAACGAAATTGTTTTTTTATGAATAAACTGACAAATTAAGCATATAATATGCAGTAGTCGTATAATTTGTACTATAAATAAAACCTAACGTGTTTATTTTTAATATGTACATAATAAGTAAAAAATAAAGACTCATCTCTATGTGTTTATCTACCACTTATCAAAGCAGTTTGATATTATGATATTTTTATATAATGTAAATATTAAATTTATGATGTTTATCCAAGTATTAGCTATAAATAGTCCCATTCAATTAGGTAGTTAGTTTACTTTTTTCGTTATGTAACATGTAATATGTAATCATATTTACAGACGGTAGCCATTACCTATAAAATTACGATTGTTTTTTTTTGCCTCTACATAATATCTTAATATGATACACATCATATTTTTTAGGAGCTGACTCACATACTACGATGTAGTGCGATGATTGTATCAATAAAAAATATTTTTGTTTTAAATATATACACACATATATATATATATATATATATATATATATATATATATATATATATATATATATAAATATATATATAACCTTTTTTATGGTAGAATAGATATTTTCATTGCCTGTATAATAAAATGAAAAAAAAAGAATTAAGAAAGAATGACTGAGTTAATATAACTGTAATTAAAAATTAGAAGTCAACTTTACCCTACTTCATATCACTGATTAAAGAAATGAATTGAATTATCAAATCCATTTAAAAATGTGTGAAAAGGAAGTCTGGCAAATATACGATCGAGATGATATGATGCTGGAGCCGGGGCTGGTAGTGAAACTCTTCGACAATGATTTCTGATAAGTCTCATATTTTATAGTCCGCCATGAGCGAGTTTTTTTTTATTATACTTATTATTTAGTTTTAAGAAGTTCTGATATTTTTTTAAGTTACTAATAGAACAAAATGTCAGGTGCAAATTGAAAAAAATCGGGAAAAACTAAAAATTCTTTTTTTCTATAGGATTTGAGTTTAAACACAAATATAAATAGGACAAAATTTGTCATATTATTTAATTCTAATATAGTATATGTTCTCCTAGCCGATTCCGGCCACGGCGGCCAATCTCAATGAGATTAACCAACTGCGCAGGAGATATTATAGTGCTCAAGTGTACGCGCATACACAAGTGCACTCTCTATTCCTATCACTTTCATACTCCGGTGGGACGACCACTCGACACGACGGGTGAGAGTTAAGGAGCAGGACCGACGGCTTTACGTGCTCTCCGTGGCACGGGGGTGAAAACACCGCCAACTTCCCAACTCCGGGCTGTTACTGAGATTTACTATGCAGGAAGATTCAATAACTAAACTTGGCCCGACCCGGGACTCGAACCCAGGACCTCTGGGTGTGCAGCCGTACATGCTAGCCACTACACCACCGAGGCAGTTAAAATATAGTTATAGTATATACTATATATAGTAATAGCTGGTTTTCCGTGTCAACATTTAAGATAGGTACTTTTTAATGCAGGAAAATATCTCATCTCTGAGAAATGTAGGTATATTAACCGTTAAAACGTAATAAACGTATATAAAATATTTTAACTTGGATTGCTATTATTATATTTCTAACAATTGTTAAATATTTGTTCACAGTTCGTAGACGTACAAGAAGGCAAATTCGTTTACAACATGTGGGAGAATCCGACATATGAAGTATTTTCAGAGGTGTATATCCTCAACTATACTAATACTGAAGAGTTCCTGCGAGGTGATAGCAAACAGCTGGAGTTGGAAGAAATAGGACCATTTAAATTTAAGTATGTTTTATTTCGTTATCGGACTAATATAGCCAATGAGAAAGTTTTTATATACGTTTGTTACTCTTTAACGCAGAAACGGCGGGAAAGATTTGGATCAAACCTATACTGATATTATAAAGAGGCAGAATTCGTTTGATTGTATGTTTGTTTAACTAACTCGATTAGAAAAAATCTTTTTGCATTAGATAGACCGTTTATTAAGGAAGGCTTATAGGACATATATTATCATATAATATTATACAGTCAATGCAGGTATCTATGAATGACGATAGCCACTTACTATTGACTGATTGTAGACTGTATAATGCTATGTCCCTTCATCAACTTTTTCCCATCGTTTTAGTAAGCTTTTTCTTCAGTCGATTTTTATTTAAAAATAATCATTACTTACTTTTAAACATCTAAGTTGTGTATACTTTTCTGATCGCATGCAACTCGATAGGTTTGGAAGACGAACATTTTTTAAAGACTTTTTTTGGTGTCTGATTATTGGCGCCTGAAATCGGCCATTATTAATAATATCATATATCCTATGACACTTGCATTGTCAAGAAGGGCCTAACGACGTATGAATCATCAAAATCGGTTTAGTCGTTTAATAATTACGAGGGAACATAGGATCGGACATACATACATACTTACAAACAGGTTAAACACGTAACGCTCCTCTGTCTGCCACACCGCCGCAGACACCACACAAGGTACGCTAATAAAACCGAGGGAAGCCGCGGTACTAAACCATGTATTCGGCCATTTTTAACGACCCACTGCTGGGCACCGATCCTTCAATATGAGGGGCGTCAGTCCATAGAACATAATATCTTAAATATACAATAAAACAATTATTTCTTTTTCAGAGAAATGAGAACTAATGAAAATATGAAGATCGATAAAGAGCGCGGGGTTATGACCATGAACCCTAAAGTTAGGCTCGAGTTTCTCCCCGAAGAGTCAATTGCACATTATAAAGATGTGAAGGTCACTGTGCCTAGTATTGCCCTTATTGTAAGTATATTTTTTTACTAATAATGATTTTTAAACACAAAATTATTTAATTTTAAAACTATCTCAAAATATCTAAATATAATCGATAAATATAAAAATATTATAATCGATCGGTAATCAATGTACACTATATCAATTAATGAATATATCTTAATATACAAAAAATAAAAAATAAAGACCTACATACAAAAGTAATTCAATAAAACGAAACCAGGCATTTTTAACTACTGAGATATCTCAGTATATTATTTTGGTCACCATATGGTGACCAAAAGATAAATAATAAAAACAGCTATTTACTCTTAAAAGCTCTAAAATTAGTAAATTTCTACACCGAGAATCGAACTCACATTATCCATTATAAGCCAATTAGCACTGCGTCTGATAAATATTTATAAAAATGGCGTCTGATTTGTTTCATTGGTTCATAAACAGTTTTAAAGTATTTAACCTTTGTTTTTGAAGTACCTAGTGTTTTTGTCAAAAAATTAATAATTATTAATTTTGCTATTTGTTTGGAGTAACGTCAATGTACCTGCCAATTAGCGTATAGTAAAAATTTACATTATTGTATTAAAATGTTCTAAGTTAAAATTTATGCTAATATATTTAACATTTAGCCATGTAACATTGTTATTTCTATATTCTAGAAGCTTTTATCTATATTTATCTGTAGTTGTAAATAAAATTAAATTATCTGCCAAAATTATATAACCGCTTTCAAAATAATCATAATTTTATCTTTCTGATCCATGCCTATATGTCAGTCTGTCTCACTGAGGCTAAATAGTTTATTCTATGCAGTTAACAGGTATAATGCAGAGCATGATGTGTGCTTTCACTCTCATAGTAAAAGATCTTAAGTAAAACAGCAGCAGCTTCACGTGCTTTTTGAGCGCAAGCTTTGGTTTTCATGCTGTTTAACCACCAATTTCTAATTGCATTACTGAGAATTTCTTGAAATAAAAGCTCTTTTTTTAATGTTGGAAAATACATTTACGCGTACCACCTGTATACATATAAGTGGTTATGTGGGACTCACCGGCTAAAGAGAAGCCAGTATTACCCACTAAAAGCCAACAGAACCTCCCCCGTCTTAATGGGGTGTTGCATTATCACTTACGCACTCAACCTGGATGTCCCGACGGCAGGTCTGCCGAAGCAGACCACAACAACCATGGGGTTGCTTCAACGGTTCACTCTGCTTCACATCACTCACCAAAGTGGGTGGGTGGGTGTTCTGGTTTATTTATGATTGATATGATAAAATTATATATTTTTTAGTATCGGAACCTAAGTGTGGTAAAAAAATATATAAAAAAAGAAATTTCAAGGTCATTCTCATGATATTATTAATTAATTTACATTTAAATAGGTTATAGTCAGCATAAGTTACATATGTAGTAAGTGATTTAGAAGTTTAACTGTCAATAACAGGTTTTGACCGTTTAGTTTAGTTCAAGGGTTTTGAGCAACATTACGATTTCTCACATTTTATATCTATATATAAATAAACAAAAACACTAAACAATTCAGTACCTTTTCCTCCTAAGTTTGTCAAGTGATGTTTTTTTTTGTTTAGTAGCTATTGACGAGTTTTATTAATAAAAAAAATATGGTTGAATTTCGAGGACTGGACAATCACTAGTTAATTAAAATAAGCGAATTACTGAAATTATTACTTAATATAATTTAACACCAGCACTGGGAAGTGTATGGACTCAGGTAGTTTCCCCCGCCCGTAAACGTCCAACTGTTGGGCCTGTTCCAAAACTATGAAGGGTAATAATGATTGGTCTACTGCACCAAGCTGTCTAGACGGTTTGGTATAGGGTTTAATATAGATTTTGCCTTCTCTTGTAGTGCTGTAGTTTGATTTCTTAGTCCTCTTTTGGAATGGTAAAGTTTATGATAATTCGTATTCTTAGTCAATCACCACAAAGACACTTATGTGATAGTTCTACAAAAGCACAAATTTCACGTCGCACTCTGGAGACCCTGGGAAGGACATAGGATAGTTTTATCCCGAAAATCATCCCTTAAGGGGATGAAAATGGGGATAAAAATTTGTATGGGGAAGCAACTTAGGGAACAACCGAAGCGAAGCGAGAGTTCGTCGCTAGTTATATTATAATTTGAACAGTTCATTTAACCTAAATTACATAAAAAATGCATATGAATAATATATTGTACCTACTCTTCGTGAGCGCGAACTTCGAGCTAGGGTATTGACCGTTCGTTATGAAACGGTGAAGGGCGTTTATTACATAAGCATATGTTGAAAAGTACCTACATTAGTAAAAACATAAAATATACGTGTCGATTTCAGAACCTCCTGCTTGTTCGTCCGTTAATAAATGAGATTTTAATTTTGATTTATAGCAGAGAAATGCAAAATGGGCAGAACTGATAGAAACATATATATCATGGTTAAAGTTAATTAAAAATTTATAATTATAGATAGAAATATAAAATAAGCTGGCAACACTGAGATTAGGTCTGCAAAAAATGAAAATAAAATTATACCTTTGCGTGATATCTTTACTATATAACATAAGGATATTAGTATGACCTTTTTTTTGTTGTCGCTGGGGAAACCGATCACGGGGACCCTGCCCGCCGTCATAACGGACAAGGTACTGTGAGACTCCTACTCACTAAAACCCACAGCGGAACCCTTCGCCGCAGTGCAATAGGGCGTTGCAGGATCGCTTGCGCATTCACTACAACACCCCTGCATATTAGTATGACCTATTATTTGTGTGATCTACTATGACCTAGTATTTGTGTCTAACTATGACCTAGTATTTATGTGATCTGTGCTATAGCTATGACTTTATTTAATTTTTTTTTAATTTTTTTTTTAATTTTTGACCAAAATATTTTTTTTATTCGACGAAATCTAGCGATCTTTTGAACATAATTAATTGTTTGTGAAGTCATTATTATTTGGTACCTACGTAACACCTAGCAAATTTCTAAGAAGTAATGAATAACCATGACATATTTGCAGTAACATGCGAGATTCTATATTATTCTATAGCTATATAATTTACTATTAATTTTATAGTCGTGCTAATTTAGTCGTAATTTTACATCCAGCCTTTGATTTATGCGTATAGCTAATGTTAGATTTTAAATATAACTTTGTTCTGTTATTTTCCTCCTTTCAATATATTTTGCAATTCTTAAACATTTAAAATAACTTTATCATGCTATTATAATTATAAATATGTTGGGACATTAACACACAGCACAGCTTGTGTTATGGATACCAGATAGTTAATATACTACACATATTTAACTTTAAATACATACATATTATAAATATAAACGCCCATAACTGGAGTACAAACATTCGTGCTCAGCACACAAATGTATGCCCTCAGCGGAACTCGAATCCGCAACCACTCGCACAGCAATTAGTAGGGTCTAGTGACCAAACTGAGCCAAACGTGTCGTCAAAATAATAAATACGAAAGTTTGTTTGTGTGTGTGTGTGTGTATGTTTTTAACCTCTTCACGCCTAACCAGCTGAAGGGATTTGGTTAAAAATTATATAGAAAAATAGAATATGAGTATATAGAGTATATAGAGAGATATACATACATATGTATTATATACTTTAAGTAGCACATAGACTAAAGGCACCGAAGCCGGGGTCGTTAGACAATAACTAATAAAAAGACCAATAAATAACGTACATGCATTAGTGCAACTTATTATTGTAATTATGACCCAAGTTGAACATAATGGCTTACAATTATTTTGCTATGATTAATTTTAATCTCTAATGCTAATTGCTAAACTGTTAATTTATATATGGAGTCTTTATAAATTAGCAGCGATACAGAGGCCGAATCTATAGTTTTTAGAATATTGGTCTGTCTGTCTGTCTATCTGTTTATGACCACATTACGGAAAACTACTGGAGGGATATTGATGAAATTTGGTATGATGATAGCTGGTTATCCGGGTCAACATATGGGATACTATTTACTGCGGGAAGATATCTCATCTCTGAGAAATGTATACCAAACGTTAAAAAGTGAGTAGGGACGAACTCGAGCGGAGCGTGAGTGAGTCGCTAGTATATTATATTACCTTAATGGTGCCAATATTGAATATTGAATTTGAAAAAAGTTGCGTATTTTATATATATAATTTTTAAAAAGTAGCCATCAAATCCAAATCCGTTCGGCTGTGTCACATGCGAGCAGAAAGCGTGCATGTCTGAACGAGTAACAATCATACACACAGACAAACAAAGAAACCCCTAGCCACGGCAATGTTATATGTAACATTACCGTGCCCTAGCTTTATAGAAGTGTTGCTAACCGCTATTGTTATTCAAGTTATCAATACTAATATTATATACAGGCAGAGTTTGTTTGTTTGAACGCGCTAATTTCAGGAACTACTAATCCGATTCGAAAAATCTTTTTACATTAGATAGCCCGTCTATTAAGGAAGGTATAGGCTATATATCATAATATAATATTTTGACTATCTATTCCATAATCGTTAAAACCTAGGGCTAACCCGAGCGAAGTGATGGTGAGCTGCTAGTTGTAATCTAAAGAGGCTTAGGTTTTTATTGTGGCCCATCGTGGAGCTCTTCCAAATGTTATTGGGTAGCTTTTTATCACTATACCCTGTTAACTCCTTTTTGTGATGCTGTATACGATTTTCTTACTCGTAGTGCTAGTAGAAACGAAATAGAGAAGGATCCGTACAATAAAATTATACATTCGTTGGATACACTACATATGAAATGATAAGTTATTGTATTTGTTTTATTGATTTTGCCGTCTAATTTTTTAAGTGAAACGTCTTTAGAATCATTGTGATTTGAAACTCGATGAAACAAAAATGCGATACTAAAAAGAGACAAACACATAAATATATTGAATTAAGCCGGCGAGAAAATGCGATAGAATACGGTGCCATGTTGCTGTGGTAACCGTTGTTATTGTCTGACAAATATATAATATTATATTCTTTCCGTATATGATATTCTATAATTATATGATTGTAATATGCCTAATATGTCTTACTAGTATTGCCCGCGGCTTCACCCGCGTTCAGGTGACCAAACACCAAATTCTTAGGTTTTACATATGAGTATACTCTTACATTGCAGTTTTTGTATTTTTTCTAGGCCCGGCCTTAAGGCGAAGGACTTGTCTTTTGTCAGGTTTTTTAGTGGGTAGGCTGCCGCGCGCTTGACATCTTTGCGCGGCAGGAGCCCCACATAACACGCCTCGCTTCCCCATTTGGCGATCAGGTACCCGGGAAAAGGGTTTTTCCTGACGATAAAAAAAAAGGATAACCAGCTATCACCATACCAAATTTCATCGAAATCCCAGTGGTTTTTCTGTGATGCGGTAACAGACAGACATACAGAGAGATAGACAAAAATTCTAAAAACTATAGATTTGGCCTCTGTATCGATAATGATGTTTATTTAAATAAGATTTTCCAAAAAACATTTCATGTACAGATTCGGCTTAGTTACAATTTTATTATTTGTATAGATTTCATTGTAGATTTGTTTTAATTTAATTGCATATTTGTCAAAGAAGTTTAAACGCGCGTAAAGGTTAAACGCATCCATTTTTTATATATATATATATATATTTTTTTATGTAATGGATGGATTTTTATTTACCTTTGAGAGTACTATTAAATACGTACCTACTACCTTACTTAGTATTAGCATAGTTGATGGTTTATAATCCTAATTAAGTAACGATCTCTACCACACTTTCGCTTTAAGTAGACCGAAACAAATATTTTTGTCGCAAGTTATAGATTAACATCCCGTCTAAATTTTTGTTCTTTGATATAATATCAACATGAAACCTGAACATTTCTAATATATTTTTTTACTCTTGATATCCTTAGGGAATCGTATGAATGATCTTAGATGTTATCTATCTTTATGACAAGTTTTATCCAAATCCGTTGATTTTTTATAATACATAAATATTTTGGGACGTAAACACACAACTCCATCTAATTCCATGGTAAGCTACGAGACTTGTGTTATGGATACGAGATAGTTGATAACCTACACATATATAACTTTAAATACATATATATTATAAATATAAACATCTATGACTAGAGTACAAACATTCGTGCTCATCACACAAATGAATGCTCCCAGCGGGACTCGAACCCGCGAACGCTAGCACAGCAAGTAGGGTAACTACAACTGAGCCAAACATGTCGTTAAATTCACGCATCATTGAGCAACAAACAGCCAAACATGTTCATATTTTGTCATACACACATACAAACTTTTGTATTTATAATAGTAGCTTACTAAGATTCTAATGAAATATTTTTGTCTACAGGCAATCAGCACCCTTCTAGCCGACAACATGGGGTATTTTGCTAATGTTGGAGCGTATTACTCCATATCCGCGCTGGGGTCTAAACTTTTTATGAATATGACAGCAGAAGAACTTCTATGGGGTTACGATGACCCTCTGGTTACATTGGCTAGCAAACTCCTACCCGGATGGATCGATTTTGGAAAAATCGGCATTATGGATAGAGTGAGTAGAAAATAGTAATAATATCTTTATTTTTTTATGTAGACTTAATAACAATAACTTATGTCCCATGACCATGATTGCTGTAAAGCATTCGAAACGTCGGGAAGCAAAAATCAAAATCCGCAAAAAACTCCGAAATGATAGTTTTATTTAAAATAACTTATACATCAGTAATAGGTACTGGAAACTATCGATTATCACAAATTACTATAGCATTTTATGAATAGCCAAAGGAAAAAATCCGGCTACCGAAACTCGTACTCTATAATATACGTAATTATTAACAAGAAGCGATTAATTATTACAGATTCGACTTAGAATTTTATTAAATGTATAGATTAAAGATATGCTAAAATGACATTTCATTAAGACTAAAGTATAAGTTAAATGTATACTTTTATTACATTTGTAATATGAATGCAAAGGAAAAAGGAGAGTTTATCAGCGATGCATATTTATGCATCGCTTATCGCTTATGCAATAGGTAATTGCAAATTTTATGTCTCATTTTCACGGACGGGTAGTTGAACTCTTCAGTTCCTACAAGTGAAACCCTCGAGTTTGACTTATCGTCAGTTGGTCAAAAGCGTGTTTTTTTTTAACTATATAATATTATTATTATCACGGAACATCAAAATGCTCTTTCTAAGTACAGCAAAAATTCTTTAGGGCATAAATTCTTTAGCACAGAAATAAACAAACAAGTTTGACAGAAGTTAGGAAATTGTTATTTTATTCTTAATTATTATTTACGCAGTTCTACGCACAAAGAGAGGAAGAAGTGGAAGTAGAATTGAGGAACATATCGAGAAGATTCTCCATCAATACTTGGAACAAATCACCGGGACTCGTGGAACAAGGCTACCAAACTTGGAATACCAGGTAACTCCACTTTTGTTATAACAAAGGCAGTGGTAGCCTAAACTAAAAGGACGTGCTTTTATAGCAGATCGAAATAAATAATGGAAAATAAATTATACTTAAAAAAACTAAAAATCATGCTTTAATGATGAACCGAACTAAAAAGAAAAAAATAATTTTTAATATAAGTATAAAGTGATTAACGAGAAAATTAATGTTTTATCATAGTGTCATTATTCATACTTGTTTGGTTTTCGACATTCTTTAGTTTTTTTTTCGATAGCTTCGTATTTCTTCTGAACATCTTTGTCTTTCTTTGTTGTTCTTTAACTATTATCTAATAAATCTAGAATATTAGGTATAGTTTTTAACATTTTTGCGTAGTTCAATTGTTTTTAAAACAATAGAAATATAATTATTATAATAATTATTAAATTACTTACGTATATCATAGAAAATTGACGCTTTTTGTTTATGGTTAACAATAAGAATCATACACTAGCAACAATTTAAAAGACCATTTTCTATGCTATTAACAGATCAGCAAAAAATACCTTTTGTAAAAACATCTTTTCATGATTACGAATTGAAAAACCCAAGATCATAATAACCATACGTATAATTAGTTATCATATTGATTTTATTGTTTGATATCTTTGAATATATCATATGAATGTTCTAAGCATACCTACCCTTGCTTTTCTCGGGTACGTCCCTAGCTGCCTTTTGTTTTTATAATATTATATATGGAATAACGAATAGATTACTTTATATCCCAAAAAAAGTACGGTTCCCGCGGGATAGATTTATTTTTGGTTTTTCTCTAGGGACTAACCTGAAGCGCATCGAGGGTGAATTGCTCGTATTTAATTAAAACATCGCAGGCACTTAGCGATCCCTTATATTAAAAAATAAGTAATAGATTTATATAATTACTAGCGGCTCACCCTCGCTTCGCTCGGGTTCACCTCTAGAAAACACTATTAGAGATCTATTAGTTCCCACGGGAACCGTTCATTTTTCCCGGATGAAAAGTAACCTCTTGTTTGACCGGCAATATAAGGGATCAGAATTTAAAATTAGTAAAATTAGGTGCATCAGTTGTATAAGTTATTATAGTTTTTAACTATCCCACGGGAACTATTTAATTTTCCGGGATAAAAAATACCTAAGATGTTGCCCGGGGATATAAGGTATGCATGCAAAATTTCATTTAAATCGGTCCAATAGGTTCGGAGATTAGCCCGTACAAACAGACAAACAGACAGAGAAACAAAAATTTGAAAAAAATCGGGATTTGTTCTATTTGTCTTCTTACATCTCCCTGACTCGGTTTTTAGCATTTTTTTTGCTATGTACAGACATTCGACCTCTACAGTCTTATTATAGTATACATTTACCCTTAAATATGTAGAAACCACTAAATAAATAATTTACTCAAGTTAGAATCAGTTTTAGAAGGGACAAATTTCTTGTTTTTATGAGCTTTCCTCATCTCATACTCATCTATCTATTCGTTTTTAGCTTATATGAATCAAAAGTTGTTGTCAAAAACGACTTTTTACATTCTATTATTGCTACATAATTTTAACTAATGAAATATTTTCGCAGTAACTTGTGTAACCGAGTCGCGGGGACCTATGAGGGGTTGATGATGCCATCGAATTTAAATAAAGATTTGGAAATACCGGTGTTCAGGAAACAAGCGTGTAGGGTCTACCCCTTCAAGTTCCAGCAAGAGATGACTAGAGACGAAGGCTATAATTATTATCGGTAAGTTATTCATATATTTATAGTACTTTTTACTCTAGGTCTTGCGACAATCTATTTAACTTACGATGATAAAAAGTTTTATAAGTTTATCTATAATCTCTCGGGTTTGTCCCTAGGTACGTTTTAACGGTTAGTATGGAATAGATAGACTACATATTAAAGTACATATCATATACGTACATAGGTATGATTCAGTTTCATAACTCTTACTTGAGAAATGATTGATTCCTTATACAGACTTTCACCCACCTTTTCACCCCCTTAAGAGATAGTTTCCGGGATAACAACTATTCTATGTCCTTCCCAGGATTTCAGACTGTCTTCATAACAAATTCATTTAAATCAGTTCAGTAGTTCCAGAGATTACACATTTTATGGCCAATTTTGCTTGTCTTCAAGTTCCTTATTATATATACATATTTATATAATACATATTTTATTTTTACATCTCAATCGGTTAATTAATACATAAAATAAAATCGTTAATTTTTACTGTATGTTTTAATTAACAGATTAATATATTATATAATATAAATTATGACAAATTGTATAAAAAAATTCTACGCTTTTGCATACAACGTAGATCAAAATTATGTCGCAATCTCGGAGATACATACGTCAATACACCTAATTGTTGTTATGGTGTTTTTTATTCAATTTTAGTATAATAATCTTCTATACATATAATAAAATTGTAACTGAGCCGAATCTGTACATAAAATATTTTTTGGAAAATCTTATTTAAATAGTCATTATTATCGACACAGAGGCCGAATCTATAGTTTTAAGAATTTTTGTCTAGGAACGCATCACGAGAAAACCACTACACATATTTTGATGAAATTTGGTATGATGATAGCTTATCTGGGATTTTATTATATAGGATACTTTTTACTGCGACAAAAATATATATCTATATATAATAACTATATATAAAACATCTCTGAGAAATCCATACCTAGTATAGTATTATATGATCTGTGTCCATACTAAACGTTCAAACGTAACTAGGGACGAACCCGAGCGGAGTGAGGATGAGTGGCTAGTTATGACATAAAAAAGGCAATTCTATTATATATGTACAATGTACATTGTATTTATATATCTAATGACGTGGATCAAATAATACTGATCGGTATTGACAAAAAATAAAGTCATTAGTCAGGTATGCTAAGTAATTAATAATATCAAAAAAAGACATTAGTTTTTTGTTTTAAAAAGAATTATAATATGATATGCAAACGCGGACTAACGTTGTTTACGCGGAAACGCGTATTTCTAACCAGTATCGACATAAATACAAAAACTTAATATGTACCTACCTATAAAATAAAGCTATTAATGCATTCTGTTCTAAACGTGCAAAAGCAAAACAAAAATCATACTACTGATCGCTGTAAAGCGTTCGAAACGTCGGGAACCAAAAATCGAAATAAATTCGCGAAAAAGTCCGCAAAGATAGTTTTATTTACAATGTCAAATATTCGCGTAAATCTAAGAAAGTATTATTAAAACAAAAGTATTTTGATGAGGCTTCACTTAATTTATACAAAGTCTTCAAAGATGGAATTTTATTAAAAACGAGTTGTGCCCCGCGGTTTCATCCGCGTTAGATTATATATACATACATCTGAGCTTAAAGCAATTAAAAGATATTACATATAAACATCAGTTTTACAATATTGTAATTTGTATGGGAGTCTGACCGATTTGTTGACATTTACGATTACTGCTCCTCTTCCTTGGTAGTAGCATGATGATATATAGCCTAATCGGGCTATCTATATAATGTATAAAGAATTTTTCACAACGGATCAGTACTTAGTTCCTGAGATTAGCGCGTTTAAACAAAAAAGCGTGTGTGTAAAGCTTTTTAAAGAAGGACATAGCTAGGAATAGACTACTATACTAATACCTTTAAAACGCAAGGAAAGCAAGGACAACCACAAGTCATAACGTTTTGAGGAAATAACATCTAATAGATAATATACCATGAAATTTAAATTAAGCTAAAAAACGATTGCGAAATATTTTCATAAAAAATATTTAATACGTTTTAAATGACTAATTTTTGAAATACGTTTCAAATTGTTAATATATGATAATCACATGTTACGTCTTTAGTTTAGAGCTTTTTTTGACGTCTTATTGCTTCTTTGTTCAAACTACCAATACTTGTTTTACTATGCATTAGAGAGTTTTTTCCTCTATTTTAAAAACAAAGCTTTACTTCTAAGAATTATAAATTACATCTTTTCAGCTTTTTAAAGTAAAATGTGTATTATATACCAACTATCGACTCACCTCGCTCCGCTAAGATTCGTCCCTAGATACGTTTTATCTGTTAGTATAGATTTCTCAGAGATGAGATATTTTCCCGCTGTAAAAAATATCCTATATGTTGACCCGGATAACCAGCTATCAACATACCTAATTTTATCAAAATCCCTCCAGCGGTTTTTCCGTGATGCGGTCACAGACAAACAGAGAGACAGATAGAAAAATTCTAAAAACTATAGATTCGGTCTCTGTGCCTATAATAATGACTATTTCAATAAGACTTTCCGAAAAATATTTAATGTACAGATTCGACTCAGAATTTTATTATAATATGTATAGATAGATAGATAGAATTGTCGTTTAAGTCAATAATTCTATATTAAAAACTCTTTCGATAAATTGGTCCTTTAGACAAATAAGCACTGAGACGACGACACCTTTAACGCGTACAGATTATACAAATAGTTTAATTTGATACACATGTGCAATAGTTGTTTTAGTCACCTATAGGTACTATTTTGAGTCATTATGTGAATTATCACATATTTTAGCGATTAATTTCTGGTAGTTAAAGTTACTTTTAAAGTATTTACTGAAAACAAAATACATATATAATAAAATTGTAACGAAGCCGAATCTGTGCATTAAATATTTTATGGAAAATCTTATTGAAATAAACATTATTATTGATACATAGACCGATCTATAGTTTTTAGAATTTTTGTCTGTCTGTCTGTCTGTCTATTACCGCATCACACAAAAACCACTGAAGGGATTGTGATGAGATTTGGTATGGTGACAGCTGGTTATCCGGTTCAACATATAGGATACTTTTCACCGCAGGAAAATATCTCATTTCTGTGAAAAAATGCAAAAATTGCAATGTAAGACAGAGTATACTAATCTGTAAAACCAAAGAATTTGGTTTTTGGTCAGCTGAACGCGGGCGGAGCCGCGGGTAATGCTAGTTTTAAATAAAACTATTTTTTCGGATTATTTCGCAGTTTTATTTCGATTTTTAGTACTCGACATTTCGAATGCTTTACAGCAATCATGGTCACGGGAGATACTAAGGTTTTAGACGTCTCTAAAGCGTTTTGTACTTGTTACAGACAGTGCCTACTCACAATTTTACAAAATGAGTTCAAAAATGGCAAAAAATGGTACCACCACCAAGTAGTCTAAGAAAGTATACATATTTTCTTAAGTAGACTATTATAAATATAACTAACAAAAGTGTATACATATGTTTAGTGTCTTTTTCTTAATATTTAACTTTTTATTCCTATTCTCCAACAGATACACTATGGAGGACTCTGCATTCAACAAGACGTCGCGGTACGCGTGTCCGTGCGAGAATAACTGCTTGCCCGACGGTTTTGTTGACATCAGTAGCTGTTACTATGGTAAGAAAGTAAATTATTTATATTTAAGAGATTTAAAATCCAGAGCGTACAATAAATACATAGGCCTTTGTTTATTGTATTTTTAATAGTTGGAGTCGTCAGTAGGAAGGCATGCTTGATCCCGTCATGAATTGAACTTTTTATTATCGATATTGCTATTTTTTTGTTGTCTATCAAATTAGTCAGTACGCAAACTTTTTTCAGTTTTCTATTAAGTTATCGTTATAGTAAGCACTTTGAATGGGTATGAAGTAAATAAGGACCACGTCACGTCACGTCGAAACGTCGGGAACCAAAAATCAAAATAAATCCGCGAAATAATCCGAAAAGATAGTTTTATTTAAAATGTCAAATATTCGCGTAAATCTAGGAAAGTATTAAATAATGACCATATGAAGGCAGCACTTTATATCGATCAGAAATCGGATTCATCATGATCTATACCCAGAATCTAAGAAGCCAGTTAGCATCTAATGCCGCATCCACATGCTTGCCATTTGCCACAAACTTCAAATCTCTACAAACGCACAAACATGTGGATCCATCACAAGTACTTGCCGCAAATTTCCTTTGAATTCTCCACGAAAACCGACACGATCGGAACAATCACAAGCCAAACGTTCTCTCCGCATATTTAAATTTGTGATGGCTTGTCGAAGCTTGGCAAGTGTGTGGATCCAGCATAAGAGATCTTTTTAAATCTATACTCTTAGTTTATTTACCCACGATCAGGATTACAAAAATCACTTTACTTTAACATTATTTATTATATTATTATTAAAAACATCGTTCCGTAAATTTTGCATGGACTAATTAAATGTGCGTACAAAACACGCACATACGTTATCGATAATAATTACGACGTCACAATTTTTAATTATTGTTGACGTATGAATGAAATTAAATTGATTGACCGGTTTTGTAAGTTTTGTTATATCAACGTCATATTTTGTCGTTATACTCGTATTTACAATAAACAATTAACTTTGACGCATTGATATAAAAAACTCAAGATCATATACCTAGAGAAAGGGCAGAGCAGTCAAAGCTGATCTAGGCTATTTTTTTTTACTAAAAACGTCGAGTCTGGAGACATTTCGGTATGAAAACCCTATATCATTAAGTTTGTTATTAAATTATCTATATTTTGTTACTTGGTTCGTGCCGGAAAACGTTACGTGCTTCAATTTACCTATTTATACCTAGATAACGTCAGGTAATGTGTTCGAAAAAGGCCGTCAAACGTATGATGGCATTTTCTACAAGTCTTTTACTTTCGATTTATACTAAGTTGTCACAGAAAAAGAGTTCTTGTAGATAATTTTTTTTTTACTTATAAAAGCAATTAAAAATAACCTAGAGCAATATTTTGACAACCTCACCTGGGTCGTGTTTGTTAATAAGTTTCATGTTTTAAAAAAAATCGTCTGGAAAAAGAGTGAGGGGTCGACCACATAGATCGGGATCTCCTACTATATGAAAACTTTAAAAGCTCGCAGACGATATTTTCTTATTGACTTGTAGAGATATTATATATTATATATTATACCAGTAGCTTGTTTTGCAAAATGTTAGTAAACTATAATAATCAATAGGTACTTATTCCTTCTTTTTAGAAATGAAAATCGTATGAAAATTCGTTCCAACACAAACACAGCTTAGTGTTGTTAGAGACTTTATGTTAAATTTTAATTAACACGTATAAACAAAAAGATATTGTTATAACTTGTTAATAATATTATTTATGATAAAAATACTAGAAAACGTATAATCGTATAAAATTAATAACAATTATTACCTCGCAATGACGTAATAAAAGTCGTGTTTAACGTAATGTATCAATTCTTAGACAATCATTTATGATACAACTAGCATTGCCCGCGGCTCCGCCCGCGTTAAGTTGACCAAAAACTAAATTCTTAGGTTTTACATATTTGTATACTCTTACCTTGCAGTTTTTGTATTTTTTCTTAGAAATGAGATATTTTCCTAGGGTAATAAGTACCCGGATAACCAGCTATTACCATACTAAATTTCATGAAAATCCCTCCAGTGGTTTTTCCGTGATGCGGTAACAGACAGACAGACAAAAATTCCAAAAACTATAGATTCGGCCTCTGTATCGATAATAATGTTTATTTCAATAAGATTTTCAAAAAAATATGTAATGTACAGATTCGGCTTAGTTATAATTTTATTATATGTACCTATAGATAAAGATACAAAGTAACGTAATAAAAAAATTAAATGTGGCACTCGGAGACTGCCGCGGTAAAGCTATTGCATAGCATTTTTTTATCAACTTATGCAATTATAATTATTTATTTATTTTATTAATGCAGTATTTTTTTTTCCTTGACTTTCTTCATTAATAAATGCACTTTGTTTATTCATATTTAAAACACTTTGTACACAAATTATACGAGTACATTCACTGTTGTACATAGATGATAAATACCTATACACCTATATACTTTCTCACAAACAGCTGATTACGGTAGTTTTCCAATACAACCAATGCCACCTAAAGGCGGGTTGCTGAACTAAAGAGACAAGCGTGATATTTCAAAAAGTCATTAAAAGTTCTGGTATTTATCGATAGATGGAAAAACTAAAAAGTATCACCGCTGTGCCGGTCGGAGTGGGGGGTGTCAGGTTTTTTCGTTATGGAATTTCTGGATTCGGTCCCCATGCTCAAGGCCCGCGATAGAAGCTATGCAATAGCTTAAAAATTTCGTAGCACTCTATAGTGATTGATTTGTATTTTTTACGTGGAGTCAGAATAAAAATTTAAGCAAAAGTTTAAATATGTTTGTCTGTCTATCAAGAAGCAAAATATGAATATATTGATGTTATTTTAACCAACTTCTTAAACGGAGGTCAATTTTGCTACAAAATATACACTTTGTGTGTAGTATCATTACTCATTCTTTTTGAGATTTCTTATAAAGAAAAAACTACAAATATAATAATTAGTATCAAAATCATTTTAAATTGATTGTATTTTTGGTTAAAAATACGAAATTCTAATACTCATAATGCATATCAGATTATTTAACGATGGGAAAGAGTACGACATAATTTTGACGTTTTCTTATCCCGAAGTGCTAAGTGGTTACGATAAACTGTATTGCAAACACTACTGACGCACGTGTTTGTTATAACGGATTACCAAAGTAATGTCAAGACGAGCACGAATTCAAGTCGAGGACGAATAGCTATTATTTTTTTATCAAGCCCCATATTCGTGCATAACATTATTTGTCAAAATTTATATATTTATACGCTATAATATTTTAACCACCAAACTGGCTACGCGGCTATGCTATGGCAGACTTTATACGCCTTTGGAAAACTAGCTAAATTATATGAGAAATACTGATATGCTCATGACGTTTCATCGCCATATTCATTATCGGTATGAATTTAAAGTAGCAAAAATCTCACAGGTGACGAAAATTTTTTTACTTTACAAATAATCATTGTACCCGTTTCGTACTCTAGCATATATTATTGCTTCATTTTATATTTTTAACCGACTTCCAAAAAGGAGAAAGTTCTCAATTCGTCGGAATCTTTTTTTATGTATGTTCACCGACTACTCGAAGACGCCTGAACCGATTTGGAAAAATTTTTTTTATTTAAAAGAGTATACTTCCCAGGTGGTCCCATATAAATTTTGTCGAAATCGCTCATACAGTTTTTTAAAAAATCAACAACAAATGTTTTTTTTTTTAAATTATATGGCTGGCACCGACTTCGAAAATATCTAATTAGGTATCTATCTATTCGAAATTAAAACCTCCATTTAGTTATTTTTACATGTTGGTACCTGGAAGTCGTTTTTTTTTAAGTTTTTATTTTAATTAGATTCATTTATCAAAAAATACTAGATATTATAGATGCAAATAAGCGCTCATTCGGTGAGGTCATTTTTTGTCGCTGATTGTTTATCTAGTTCTTTGTTGATCGATGATTAGTTTTCAATGATATATTGTATTTTATGCTTTCTTTCCAGGTTTCCCTATAGCATTATCAAAACCCCACTTTTTGGACACGGACCCGGAACAACAGGCATATTTCAAAGGATTCAAACAAAACCCTGTGAAGCATATGTCTACGCTTGATTTAGAACCAGTAAGTATATATTATTAACTTACTAAATTCTAAGAGTAATAAGAATTTTATGAATAGACTAGCAACTTATCGTCGCTTTGCTCGGGTGTGTCCTCTAGCTAGGTTTTAACTTTTTTGAGCGGAACCCTTGTTTTCCTAAAATAAAAGTAGCCTGCGTTACTCCTTGTAACATCAACTATCTGACAGTGAAAGTCCCGTCAAAATCAGACCAGCCGTTTCGGAGATTAGCCGGAATAAACAGACAGACAGACCCATAGACAGAGAGACAGGCAGAAATTAAAAAAAAATATATTATAATGTTATTAGTACCCTTGTAGCATTTCAAATGCATTTAGTAAAAAGCTACAAACATACACTACGATTTTAATTATTTGTATTTATACATTTGTATGATGTAATGAAATGATGAATTTGTTTTATTTCAAGGTTTATTTTCTTCATTTTAGCATATTAAATAAAAGCTTGTTTTAAAATATGTTTTGTTACTATTAATTTATTACAACACGATAAAAAAATACATACATAATATATGTATGTACATATGTACGTCGATAACTTGTTCCTTTATTACGAATCATTCGTAACATAATTATAATAATATACGTGTAACAAACACATTATGATAATTCACATACTTTCAAGTAGTTATAGTTTAAAAACTGCTTTAACTAGTTTTATTATTATTTACCAAGTATATATCACGATTCACGATGTTGCTACGAGAATAACGTTTTTTTTTCAATAGATTCTAATTTTTTTCTTTTCAATACACTCTGTATTCCCAATTGTAACAATTCAATTCATAATTATTGTATATGACGACTAAATCTATACATATACATACTGGCAGACCCAGCCACGCGTTGTTTTAGCGCACATTTTATGAAAATCGTTAATTTTGTAGTAAAAAAGGAAATAATCGCAATAAAAACTATCCTGTGTTTTAAGTTGGAATAAATCACACATTTTGAAAAAAAATACATTAAAATCGAAAAACTTAAAAAAAAATTATACCGACTTCCAGGCACTAAAATGTAAAAAATACGGGGGTTTTAATTTAGAATAGATACCTAATCAGATATTTTCGAAGTCGGTGCCAGCCGACGCATAGGAAATCTAATATATTTTGATACGAAAAATACATATTTACCTATTAGATATTCATATCTTAAAATATTGTCCGCTGGCACCGACTTCGACCTTTTTATCAACCTTTGTTTTTTTGTGTATATGTTTTTCTCAATTTTTTAATACTATTTATAGTCTAATTTGCAATAATATAGTAATTTCTATTTCAAATGATGCACACAGTAATCAATAAAGTATCACAACCGCTATATTTACATTTCCGTTTGATGTAAAAAGACGTTTACCTAGAAATGGCAGCCCTCGAACAAAACCAGTAACTGATATAATTTAAATATTACAAATAAGTATATTTATACTTATCTATACATATAATAAAATTGTAACTAAGCCGAATCTGTAGGGACTTTAGATATTTTTTGGAAAACCTTATGGAAAGAAACATTATTATCAATACAGAGGCCGAATCTATAGTTTTTAGAATTTTTGTCTGTCTGTTACCGCATCACAGAAAAACCACTGGAGGGATTTTGATGAAATTTGATATGGTGATAGCTGGTTATCCGGGTCAACAATAGGCTAACTTTTGACAGCGGGAAATCTCATTTCTGAAAAAAAATACAAAAACTGCAATGTAAGAGTATACTAATATGTACTCATAAAACCTAAGAATTTGATTTTTGGTCATCTGAACGCGGACGGAGCCGCGGGAAATGCTAGTAATTAATTAAATTTAATATAAATATATATATCTTTAATCCCAATAATAATTCAGGGTTATGAGTGTTTAAAATAACATAATATTTATTTATATCAGATGCATTCAGGCCTTCACTAAAAGCATCTTGCGCGATAATATGCAAATTCAAAACATTTTATTCTGCATTAAATTATTACAATTTTTTACTGAAAGTCATCCATCTACTACCAATTCGGAAATATTTTATACTAGCAGCTCACTCTCGCTTCGCTCGTGTTCGTCCATAGTTGGTACGTTTTAACGGGTAGTATGAAATAGGTATACTAAATATTATATATGTATGATGATGATGTTCTCCTGGCCGATTCCGGCTACGGCGGCCAATCTCATTGAGACTAGCCACCTGCGCAGGAGATATTATAGTGCACAAGTGTACACGCAGACACAAGTGCACTCTCTATTCCTGTCACTTTCATACTCCGGTGGGACGACTGCTCGACACAACCAGTGAGAGTTAAGGCGCAGGACCGACGGCTTTACGTGCTCTCCGAGGCACGGTGGTGAAACACCGCCAACTTCCCAACTCCGGGCTGTTACTGAGACTTACTATACAAAAAGACTCAATAACTAAACTTGGCCCGACCCGGGACTCAAACCCAGGACCTCCGAATGTGCAGCCGTACATGCTAGTCACTACACCACCGAGGCAGTATATGATATATTTATATACATAGGTATAATGAGTTGTTGTGGGTTATACGTGTTTTCCCGTGGGAATGAGATAATCTCCCGCGGTAAAGAGTAAGCAAAGTTACTCTCCAGCCCTCTAACTATCTCCACATAGAAAATCACGCTAATACGTCACTCTGTTTCGACGTAAAAGAAGGACAAACAAATTCAAACACTTTCACATTTATAATATTAGTGTGGATTGTATGAAAATATTATTTTCAAAACATGAAAAACCAATTAATCAACGAGGGTGGAAGAGCGCTCATGCTCTTTGAGGCACAGGAATGCAAAACGGCCAATATCCAAATGCCGTCATCTTAAATTTTTTTAGAGAAAAATCTAACAGCTTTTCTTAAACTGATCCGAAGCTTAGTATTGTTCAATGCAAACTTAATGACAGCTCGGATATTAACTGCTAGCGCAGGTACACTCAGCGTCTCGTCCCTCTGCGCCCCCATGATACCTAATATTGCGTTCTGCGCGTCAGAACTTTTTACCGGTGGTAGATCTCTGTCAAGCCTGAGGAGACCGACTGGATGGGTACCACCCCCTTATCTATTTCTCCCACCAAGCAACAATTATTGCATTGTTGTGTTCAGGTTTGAAGAATAAGGTAGCCAGCACAATTACAGGCAAGGGGCATATCATCTTAGTCCTCACAGTGACAACGCACCTGCGGTTCTGCATTGTTGTAACATAAAACCTAAGTGCATGAACTGTAGGTGTTATGGGCGACAGGTACCGCTTTCCATCAGGTGGACTGTCTGCTCGTTTGTCACTGAATACAAAAAAAAAATCAGAAATTACGATGTTCAGGGTCGCCATTAAGTTTGCATCGAACTTGCTAGTTAGTTAGTCGACAAGGCAGGTTTCCTATATACAGAAAACTCACTATTTGAAACATCTAATGAAGCGGGTCAAACCGTCGACGACATCGGTGACGCGTCGCCATGCCAACAGCCGTAATTAAAGTCGTAAAAAATTCTTAGTTTAAAATTCAAAAATAAATAATTTTTGTATTAAATTAATATGTATTTTTTAAATATTTTTTTTAATTTGAATAATTTGTTTCTGATTATGCATATTTCTTTCTTTTAATAAATTAAATAAATAAATAAATATGTTGGGACATTAACACACAGCACCATCTAGTTCCGTGGTAAGCTACGAAGCTTGTGTTATGGATACCAGATAGTTGATACAATATATATATATATATATATAGTAATTATGTTAATAAAAAATAGATTGACAATCTAAGAAGATTTTGGTTAAACACTTGTTGGTTAAACAAATGTAAAAATAATAACCTACTTAGAGTGGGGAACAATTATTATAAAGCAATTATTTAGTTTATTTTATTTACTCCTAATCAAGCTAAAGGTTTATATATATATAAATATAAACACCCATGACTGGAGTACAAACATTCGTGCTCATCACACAAATGAATGCCCCCAGCGGGATTCGAACCCGCAACCGCTGGCATAGAAAGTAGGGTTACTACACACTGAGCCAAACGTGTCGTCAAATTGTTTATTATTTTATATAGTAAATAGTTTCGATATTTCACCAGATATAGACATGTAGAGAAAACAGATATTTTACCAGGCATCCTGTGACAGCTCTATTTTTTTATAGTCTGCCTTCTGTGTGAATGAATAATAAATATGTTGGAACTAATGTTACATACAGCACCATCTAGTTCCATGGTAAGCTATGAGACTTGTATTTTACATGTTATAAATATACACACCCATGACTGGAGTACAAACTTTCGTGCTCATCACACAAATGAATGCCCCCAGCGGGACTCGAACCCGCGGCCGCTAGCACGGTTCACTACAAACTAAGCCCAACGTGTCGTCAAATAAAGCTTACAATATTTTAATTTTAGGTTAGACCGCATTTGCAATGGAATGAATGAATGCAAGTAATAAAATATCTGTACATGCAATCAAAGGTCTAATTACCCTGTAACTTTAAATAGGAAATGCTTTTGCGAGATTTTCTCGAACACTTACATACTTATATTATTGCTATTTCCTATAAAATAATGACGGTGACCATACATGGGCTTGGTGCATCAAAAAGGTAGTTTAACATTCAATCAAACTAGTTTCAATGTTTTATATTATACTGTATAAATATTATTTATACAATTAGTTTATGATGTTTTACAATAAATATAGTTTTTTTTTCATCCTCTTGATTTATATGAGGTAAATGTGATGTTAAAAATAATTGAAAAAAAACCCCGAGTGCGTAAAAAGCAAACTAAAAAGCTGAGACAAGAAGACGGGAAAACATAGTATGTATTATGCTGTCGGAGACATAAGAATCATCAAAATCGGTTTAGTTGTTTAGTAATTGCTAGGGAAAATAGGATCGGACATACATACATACAGGTCAAACACATAACCCTCCTTTGAGATTCGCCGCAATTGGGTAAAAATATTCATTAACGCCGTGTTATTTCTTCTGAAACGAAAATTAATATTATAAAGGAAAATTTTGAACAAAAACAGTGGTGGTGCATATTTATTAGACCTCGTGATTTCCAAGAGTGCGTCAGTGTGTTTCAAATTAATCATATTTCAAACAGATTACATTTCTCAGTATTTACTCTTTTAATAAGTATCAACTACAACGAATAGTGAGTAAAACGTGCTGTAAACGACGTTTTTACCCAGTCTTACTTTATTGTAATACGTCAGAAAGAAAAACAAATTTATTAGCTTCGAGCCCTAGCTTTTCCATATGTCTTACTACACTCTGTACGAAATCGGTGGTAGTCATGTTGAAAATGATTCGTACAAGATAATATCAGAACTGCGAGATCCGGGTTTTGAACCCGCTTCACTTGTTCTCTCAAGCTAACCCTTGGGACGCTACCATTGGGCTACCACTGTTTAAATAATAATGTTCTCCTGACCGATTCCGGCCACGGCGGCCATTTCCCAATCACTTGGGGTCGGTGCAGTACATCTTCTGTACTGCTGATAGGATGTGTAATTATATAAATATAAAAAAATTCTAACTGAGCCGAATCTGCACATTAAATATTTTTTTTGGAAAATCTTATTGAAATAGTCATTATTATTGATACAGAGGCCGAATCTACAGTTTTTAAAATTTTTGTCTGCCTGTCTGTTACCGCATCACGAGAAAACCACTGGACAGATTTTGATGAAATTTGGTATAATGATAGCTGGTTGTCCGGGTCAACATATACGATACTTTTTACTGCGGGAAAATGAGATCTTTGAGAAATCTATACTAAACGTTAAAGAGTAACTATAGGGACGAACCCGAACGGAGCGAGGGAGAGTCGCTAGTATATGTATATTATATCTAAAGCTTGCGGTATACTCCAGTTAATTATGTTAAAAAATTATGTAAATAAAGCTACATTATTTTCTTATAATTTATGAATAAATTCCGGTTTTACGTTATACGTATTTATATTTGTAATTTTCGTCACGGTCACAATACGCGCTAAGTGATGTGATAAACATGTATCCAAATATGGTCACCGTATAGGCTTAGTTTTAGTTTCTGGAAACTTTATTAGTATCAGACATACTTGTTTTGCGGTTTTTTTGTAAACATAATTTATAAAAATTCTTCCTTAGTGATTACCTTGATTATAATATAAGGAACTCGTATGAAAAATCTCGTGTTTCTTTATATATACTATGCGTTGTTTGAGAGTGAATCTTAAGATCTTCCTTAAGTAGATAATTAATTATATATTCCTAAACTTTATTATAAATATTGATCTATACAAATAAATAAAATTGAAGTGTCTGTTTGTAATGTTAATAACAGCTGTTTACTAAATGCATATAAAATAATATACGGTACTTACCTATAAGAACAATCAATTTATAAAATTTTTGTCTGTCTGTCTATTTGTTCCGATTTATCTCTGAAGCAGCTGTACCGATTTTGACGATTTTATAGATAGCTGATGTTATAAGGAATAATATAGGCTACTTTTATTTTAGAAAAAGAAATAGGGTTCCACGCAAAAATATTAAAACCCATGAAATCGTGAAGAAAATTACCTATGGAATCACAATCCTGAACGAAGCGATACGACAAAAAAGGCAAACATTATTTTATTTTTTTTCGCGGGATACCTAACTATTGAAAGTGTATCGGAGAAGTTACTGAATGTTACACGAGAGATGTATCTAGGACGTTTAAACGAAGAGAAAGAGCTGCTTTACGTTTTTAGGCAGTTTTAAAATAAGCTTTTTATATACTTTTTTTAATTGTTTTGGCAAAAACATATTATCGAAATAAAATGTATTTTCTCTACCCAGAAATAAAATGTAGCTTTAAATTTTTCATAACGATGATGGATGAATTCCCAAAACCGCATTTTATTAACCAAATCAAGATTTTTTTGCATGATTAATGCGAATGTTTTGCAGGAAGTATAATATATAACTTCCACCTAGGCCTCCAGCATAGCTGTTATGTACATATTTGCTAGAATTCGCTACTGTACAGCGTTTAGAGTTATACATATACAGAAAATGTATGTATGTATTTCTATCAAGCATGACCACCGTTATATGAGAAAGAATGTCCAACTAGGAGAGATCAAGTAGCCAGTAGTTAACAGTCAAATATTGACTACTAACAACTGTCTCCAAGTATCAGTATTCTAATTCCATAACAATGCTCCCGGCTATTTCAATACTAGCAACTCAAACTCACTTCACTTGAGCGCGTCATTAGATGAATAAAAGTAGCCTATGTGCTACTCCAGATTACAGTATATCTGTGTACCATCAAAACTCGTCCAGTTACAGAAGGAGTAACGGACACACAAAAATACAAATTTTCCCATTTATGATAGTTGTCCGATTTTACTCTTAGGTACAATTTTTTATCTACATTGATAAATTATTATTTTTTTGTTCAGAAAATCGGAGCGCCAGTGGCCGTCAAAATAAACATTCAAGTCAATATAGCAGTACGAATGTCCTCTGGAAATCCCATCACACGGCCTATCAAAGATAAGGTCATGCCCATACTGTGGTTGTCATTGGTAAGTCACTTTCTAAACTTCGCTTATATGTGAACTTAACTAGATATGTGTATTTATAGTATCTAGATAGAAAACTATCTATACATATAATAAAACTGTAGAGGTCGAATGTCTGTACATAGAAAAAAATTGCTAAGAACCGAGTCAGGTGGAGGTAAGAAGAGAAATAGAACAAATGTAGATTTTTTTTTAATTTTTGTGTTTCTTTGTTTGTCTGTTTGTACGGACTAATCTCCGAAACTGTTGGACCGATTTAAATGAAATTTTGCATGATGGTACCTTATATCCCCGGTCAATATTTTAGATACTTTTCATCCCGGAAAATTAAAGAGTTCCTTTGGGATAGAACTGCTTGTGCTTTTATATTACACAAATAGTAAAGTTATTTATGAAAACACATATTATATATATAATTTATATTAAGTATCAAAATTAGGTAAAAAGCCCTTGAAGGTCAAAATATATTGTTTACACATACATGTTTTCATTAATCATACAGATCTCACTCTGGTTAAGAAATACTCGTACATGACTTACGTCTCATCATGTACTCGTAACAATCAGTCACAAACTATCAACTAAACTATAACCCGACTGAATATAAAAGGGAAACAGTTGAATTACTATATGTATAAAATTGTAATTATATATCATTTGTCCGAGTTATATTTAATTGTGTATATCACTGATATCTACCGATTATAAAACCTTAGTACTTATTATAAGAGAAGGCAATCTTCTATAAATAATTAAAAAAAAACCTTTAAATTAATTTTCAGTACTGTAAACAACCACCACCAGAAGTCACAAAGCTGCTTTTCCTTCGTTTAGTCATCGCACCCCCATTGATGATAACCCTTGAAGTTGTCCTTTTTGTCATTGGGTTAGGTTTGGGGGTTCAAGGGTTCCATCGTATTTGGAAACCAAAGTACAAGCTTGTGCCATCAAAAGAAGAACCTACGCGAAAGAAGAGCGTAGAAAGAAGGAAATCCAGCGTAATAATAAATGCGGCGGATAATTCCGGTTATATTGATGATCAAGAATTAGCTAAAGAAGCGGTTGCTTTACTCGCTATCACGGAAGAGGATACGGAAATGCCTGATTTATTAATGAGTTAATATTTCAAATAATTCCAGAAGAACCATTTCGCATTACTAGGTTATTAATTTTAATTGGGTTTGATCCATGATTGATGTAATCATGTAAGAACCCCCACATACTACAGACTTTTCGTCAGCTATAAATACAAATCTATTGTCTGATATAAAATCTGTAGTGTGCGTCGACTCCAATGTGAGCAGTTTCAATAGCTCTTTTACGGTAATTATTTCCAAGGGTTTCCATGGTATACAAATAATATGGTATTTATTTTGGCTAATGAGATTATTTTATGACAAACACTATATTATGATCACTGTATATGAGTGTTTTATAATTTCTTATCCATGTAATATGAAAGCGATCAGCATGAACCATTGATTTCTACAATCTATGTAGCTGATAGAAAAGTAAATAAATATGGCAATCGATACCTTACTTCGCGAGTCGAACTCATCTCAGTCAACTCTTTCGTGGCTATCAAAAACGTAAATGATTCAATTATATTTAAAAACAATAAATATTCAATTTTCAAATTACGATATTTTTAAATAATCTAAAAATAATATTATTGAAATAATAACATTTTTAGTGAACCCTGAAAAGTGCAATGAATAGTTAGCCGACTTTCGAATTAAGGTATGGCAATGTCATATTCTGACCACGTGACGTAATTAGCTATGTGTCATATTGCTCATTGCTAAGCCCCCATGATTATGGTTGGGACCTATTTTTCCACAATAGTTTTTTTATAAAATGACTAATGCCATTATATTTTATATATCCTCTCTTATATTTTTAATTTTTTATATTTAAAATTACGATTTTGATAATAATTAAAAAATGAAATATAGTTACCCGACTTTCGAATTAGGTTATGGCAATGACATATTCTGACTCATTCTTTAGTTTTCTAGGTGCAGTACCTACGATCTTACGTAAGCCCCCATAATTATGGATGGGTCCTTTTTTCCACAATATGTTTTTTATAAAATGACTAATGCCTTTATTTATGTATCCTGTCTTATATTTTTTTTATATTTAAAATAACGATTTCGATAATAATTAAAAAATGACATTTTATGGTAAAATCTTTAGTGAAAGTAAAATTATTAGATATTACTTAAGTTAAAATTATTGATAAAATCAACTTGCCGTAGTTAGAGATTAAGGTGCTCTAAAGTCTTGCTCAATTTGAAACAAATTTGCTCAATTTTCGGTATATTGAAGAATTTATTATTATTATAAATAGTAACACATCCTCCTTTATAATAACTTTATTTATTTTAAAATTACTATATATACAATACGGGAAATAAATCATATTTATACTGAGCGATTCTCTCTGACTTCGCTTGTAAAGAACGCACTAAATTCATATTTAATATATACTCGTACCTAATTGTTGTATTTACTATTTTAGATTTACGCGAATATTTGATATTTTAAATAAAACTATCTTTACGGATTTTTTCGCTGATTTATTTTGGTTCCCGACGTTTCGAATGCTTTACAGTGATCATGATCACGGGAAAGACTAAGGTTTTAGACGTCTCAAAGATCGTTATATAGTTAGTTGTTACAGACAGTTACAAATAAACTACGAAAAATCCGACAAGTCTGTTTTATTTAAAAAGTGGTATATACTTTTTGTTTTTATACTAACAAATTTTAAATAATAAAAATCATTTAATACATTTCACGCACATCTCATCTATCATACGATTCGTGTACTATAAAAGAAACTTTGGATGGACGGGTGTAGGAACGCATACGTTACAAATAGACCGATAAAAAGACAAACATTCATTTTCATATATGTATATGCATAGTTGAGGACAGTATTATGTCATATGTGATAAAACTTTACCCGGGCATTGTGCGTGGATTATAACAATATTGACCGGGTAAAGTGATTCTTATGCATATAAGTGGAAAACATTGTACCGAAAATCTCAAGTCCAAACTTAATTTAATTAATTTACATCTAACTAGCGTTTTCACGAAGCCCCGTCCGTGTAGTTATATTATAAATTACTACCTATAATTTTATAAATTGTAGTTACTCTAATGTATAAGTTATGTTACTATAAAGTTTCATCAAAATCCGTTCATTAGTTTTCGCATTAATGAGTAACAAACATACATACACGCGTTTATAATATTAGGATAATACTATAAAAGCGATGTGATTTTTTATCTTTCCCCTAAATATAATAAAAATTAAATTTTAATGTCGAGATTCAGGAAATATCTCTTAAAAGATAAGATCGATATAAGGATAGTTAGTTTTAATATAAACAGTACCGTTTTTTATCCATCCTTTCGAACTTGAATCTTTCAATACACTATATTAAGATTGGACTTCAGAACGTTATACAAAATAAACTCTTTATAACCTTTAATACATGTAACGATTGTGATATTACTTTTAATAATAGATTATTTAGTTTTAAGCTTTGTAAATATGACTGAAGGTGTATTTTTAATAAAAAAATTTACAATTATAATAACATTTTTATTTATTTCACTCATTTCTATCAGACTAGATACTTACAAAATTGGTAATCAAAATTAAGTAAAATTAAAAATAAAATTAATCTAATCATTAATACGTAGATATAAATATATTTATTTTAATAGATATACATAAATTTTCATAAATCAAGAGTTCAATTAAAAAAAAGTTTTTTTTTTCCGCCCGCACTTGGCCAGCGTGGTGGACTATGGCCTGATCCTCCTCGTACTGAAGGGAGGCCCGTGCCCAGCATTGGGACGTTAAAAAGGACTGAATACAATACAATATCAACATTAGTAATATGAATTTTAGGTACGATGATTGGTTGTTACAAAAAATTATAAAGAACATTTTTAGAAATTGAAAATTCCACTACCTATTAAACAACCAATAACACTGCCAACTTCCCAGCTCCGGGCTGTTACTGATGCTTACTAAACAGAAACACTCAATAACTAAACTTGGCCCGACCCGAGGCTCGAACCCGTACATGCTAGCCACTACAACACCGAGGCAGTTATCATATAGTTAACACATATGCTACTGTAAGTTGTAGTGTATTTACTAGGCAGGCGGTAACATAATATAAAAATGCTCTATTAGAGATTATAATTAAAATATATCCTTCCACTAAATTTTGACTTTGAACCGATTGTTGATTGAAAATAAAAACCCATAGGAAGTGTTGTACAACGTAAATAACTGAATCATTTCTAAAATTACTTATTTCCTATTTTTAAGGTAACATATCAAAATTTAATAATATTACGATATATTGTTACTTATACTAAAATAACGAATAACTTCAAGTAATATGCGAGTTATTATACGTTTACTGCGTATTATTGGAATAGATATTATCTAATTTATTATCTTATATTACATGTATAAATGTAAATTATAATATATAAATCATACAATACTAGTTTTTGCCTGCTATTCTGCTCGCTATAGTAGGATATACTTTGAAATAATAAAAAACAGATTATTTAATGGCTTTTTACTCAATCTCACACTCAATAACTTTTATATTTATAATATTAACGTGATAGTATCTTAAAAAAAAGGATTTTGGTGTAAAAAAATGGACATTCAATCGAAACTACAATAAAAGTTTAAAATTGATTTATACTATATTGGCACTTCATAAAATTATGCTAAAATAATCGTAAAGTGGTTGACTCGATATTAATCAGATTTTATTGATGATTTTATGTTTACTTAATTTTCATTGACACTTGCCTTACTTCAATCCGTGTTTATATCCTAAAAATCATGACGTCTATTACTAAGCAGTCTGTCCGTCTGTCTACGCTATCTTTAACGGTACTGTATATACACTACTAGCATTGCCCGCGGCTCCGCCCGCGTTCAGATGACCAAAAACTAAATTCTTAGGTGTTACATATTAGTATACTCTTACATTGCAGTTTTTGTATTTTTCCTCAGAAATAAGATATTTTCCCGCGGTAAAAAGTATCCTAGGATCGCGCGCTACATCGCCCGGTTTATATAGCTTGAGCAGGCGGTCGAGCGATGCGGGGCAGAGGGGATGGACTCACCGTAGGCATCTCAATGCTCGCCAAGCATTAAAAATGTTTCGCTACTAATTACTTCTAACAACGATATCTCAAAAACTATTCATCTGATTGATTTAGTGTAAAGAGCAATTTTAATCTGCATTAAATGACTAAGCTAACTAAAATATTCATTTGGATAAGGATTAATACCGAACTAAAGAAAATAACTTTGAAAATAACGTAATGTTTTTAATTAAAAATGTTAACATAAAAGTGGTTATTGTAAGTCAACCGTAAGAGATAGAGATATGCTATCGCGGACTTTTTTGTAGCATTTTTATAGATTTTGAATTCTCTAGTACATTACTTAACTGTATCTTTGCTAGTTTACGCGGCGTTCGCGTGGAAAGTTCCCATTTGGCGAGATTTTTTGCGACCTCTTCAACATTTGTCGCCGTATTTCAGCTAATTTACATAAAAGCATAATAAATTATATACCTAAACCTTCCTCAAGAATTACTCTTTCTATTGTTGAAAACCGTATAAAAATCCGTTCAGTAGTTTTCGAGTTTATCGCGTACAGACAGACAGGAGGACAGAAAGACGCGGCCGGGGGACTTATTTTTATAATAAGTATAGATACATACATTGAGTCTTGTGTACACATTAACAAATAATCAATTATCTAAAATATCTAGGGACTCCTATACAAAAAATGTATTTTTGTATTATTTTAAATGTAGCCATCTTTTAGTAAAAAGATATTTTAATCATAAGTTCCAGAAATTAATAACTAAATTAATACAAGCTTATAAAAGTAAGCTCTATGTTGTACAATAATTTTTCTTAAAGAAGCGATTTGTTGATGTTATAATTGTTTTTAAACTATCGAGTTTCCATTAATTCAGCACATTTTCATATAATATCATGGATATAATTTTTTTTTGCGCTTGACGTCAAAAATCCAATAAGTTTTTTAATATTTTATTTATGGGCTAGGTTTGTCATCCTCAAGATACTTATTAATTGTATAAAATGACTAATAATTATATACATTTATCATTAATTTTATGCGGAAATGCTTTGTTTATTTAATTTATATGGAAAGTCTAAAAAACGGAAATAATCATTGTCAAAATGAATTAAAATAATCATCAAAAAAATGGCCAACCTTTTTAACATATAATTTATCAAAACTTATAAAGCTCTAGAAAAAATATACCTAATGATATATTAAAATAGCATCAATTTGCAGATTTAAATATTTACATAATAAATTATTTAAAGGTGAGTAAATAAATTTGAATTTTCAAAATTAGTTATTTAGCCTTGTCATTGGCTATTGAAGAGGTTTTGCTTATATATTATATTTAATGTATGTCTGTAGGTACACTAAATTTGTCTATTAATTTCTATTATTCAATTTAATTAAAAAAAACTGTAAAACAATAATAAGATGCGTCATATGCATTTTTTTTTATTGAAGTGAAACTTCTTTAGAATTGTTGTGATTTGAAACACGTTAAAAGAGACAAACACATAAATATATAGGATTAAGCCGGCGAGAATGCCATGTTGCCATGGTAACCGCTGTTATTGTCTGTCAAATATATAATATTATATTCTTTCCGTATATGATATTCTATAAATGTATGATTGTAATATGCCTGATTTGCCTTATTTAATTATTGATTTGATTTAATTTATGCCAAAGAAGTTTTATATCAACCGTGCGTAAAGGTTACACGCACCCATTTTATCTTTGTTGCGGCTATAAGCTTGTTATAACTTCGACCATTTCTAGTCAATTTTTGTCGCATTAGTTGAACTAGAGTAAGCCACTGAACCCTGTAATATATTGCAGGGTTGGCATTGGGTACAGTCCATGATTTCATGTAGGCCTAAAAAGGGTTTCCCGAGATGAATACTACTACAGACATATTTAATGTAAGTGGATAGAATGGGGAATCCCCTTAGCTTTATAAGTTATTTAGGTAATATAATAAATGATATTTAAATCTAACAAAACTTTTTTAACAACATTTAAATAAACTAAATTATAAACATCTTATACTCTAGAGAAATAATTTACAAACATTACAACACTAAAAGTAAATAAATAACAAATTCACAGATTCATTTCACATTTAAAATAAAAGCTACCTAAAAAAACTAAAAAAAAATATAAACTCATCTAATCTCAATCTACAATACAAAATGATGTTCAAATTATTAAATTGATTAATCACTTAAATTAAAATACTTATAAACAAGATTATATTTACATACAGTGGAACAATACTAAAATAATCGCACGTATTATGGACTATTTAAATTATTTGTTAATAAAAAAAGTTTCTAGAATATACATAAATACCTATTCAAGTATTGTATGTGTTATTTAGTGAACAAGTTATTTAAATTGTTTTAATGTAATTTCACTGAAAGAGCTTTTTATATTTATTTACGTAACAATATTGATATAAATTTAATAATAACCGCACACAATTGTTTTCTATAATAATAAGTAAATAAATATGTTGGGACATTAACACACAGCACCATCTAGTTCCATGGTAAGCTACGAGGCTTGTGTTATGGATACCAGATAGTTGATATACTACACATATATAACTTTAAATACATACATATTATAAATATATATACATACATTACTTCCTCAATACAGAAAAATATTTACTTTAAGCATATTCTCTATAGCATCTTAAGGCGTACATTTATTAATAGTGATGCTGTGACCGCGAGAGCTGTACCGCCCTTTAAATGGCTCCAATATTCTAGTTCTTTAAATACCGTTTTTAATATTTTAGTAGTTATGTCATTTTTATATATACATATTATGTACAATGAAAATGTTTATTTATCTGCTTTTTCTTAAGAAAATATTAGATCTAATTTTTATATTGAAATCACAAGATAAAACCATCTTACCAACGCCATGTTCATATAATTACTTATGCATATGGAATCTAGGGACTTCCCCGTTCTCGCGTTTCGCGTTAAGGTGCGATACGTCACAATAACACTACATACAACATTGACATAATTAATTTGACACATTAAAATTATTAGTTAGACCTTCTATTTTTTTTTACTTCTAAGTTGAGGCTATGGAGTATCACTACGACCATTTCTAGCCTATTGTAATCACCGCTTAAACTATAGTAACGCACTAAACCCTGCCGCTGTAATGAACTGCAAGATTTGTTTAGAGATTCACTCTTTAATTTCATCTGGGCCTACAAACTATTTCTTAAGATTAAAACCGTACTTATGCATTAGAGGTCCACACCCCCAAAAATAATAATATAATTAATAGAAACTTGGGAAATATACTGGGAAAAGAAGACGAAGACTCCCCCATAAGATGGAGTGGCGTTTCATCTGCCTCCAGACATTTTCTGCAGGGTTGTGTGTCACTCTATCAGACAGATTATATAAAATACTAGCTAGGATAAATATTTGAATATATCCAAGATACATAGTGAGCAACATTAGTATACACATCAGGTACGCCGAGTCTTGCGCATCCTGAACCAAACGAGGTAAGTCCCCGGAGTTCCCAGCGACCGCCTGACCGACATTGGAGGGGTCCGCCACTGTCACCCTGAAAAAATCAACATCACTTTAAAAGTAATTACTCCCTTTTTTCTAGATTTTTTATATTATACAGGTGTTGCCATCTTATGCTATTGGTACAAATCTAAACAGGTAATAGACCCATTTTATTGTCAAATAATTATTTTCATTATCTTGTAATAGATAAACATGAAATTGATTTATAATCAGCCAAGCTATTGTGTAACATTAAATAGGTATGTCCTCTTTTTTGTAGTCAATAAAAATTGTATGCACATGTAATAATAAAAACTAACGAGTTATTTAACTATGATATGGATAAGTATATTTCATATGACAATGACTTGAAAAATCATCGGAAAATATTTCGATTAGTTGGTACATTGCCTATTTGGTACAATATATGCAAATTTCGTCTACACTGACAATTGCAGGACTTCATATTTAATTTAACAAATTGAAAGATTGCGCATTAAAGATAAAACAAACACAAAAAGTATTCTATCGAATTTTAAGTTAAGCATATCCGGTAAATGTCTTTGAAAATACCAATTTTATTATAATAGGACTAAGTGAATAATTAAATCTATTTCCTGTCAGAGAAAGTCCACTACACTTAAGTAGTATCAAAAGTAAAAAATACCGCTTCAAAGAGCTGAGTCACATTATTTTTGAATTGACATTCGCTATCAGGCAATATGACGTTTGAGATGTACGTCTACATCAATTATTCTTTCTAATCTAGACAATCTCAATAGAATCATTTTAATGGCAGATAAAAATAATTGCATTCATATCCTTGTACTAAAAGTTTGAATGCGTAGGCAAGTCTTTATATAATATTTCAAATTAATAGATACACGATATAAGACTAATTGGTTTATAAAATACTATTAAATTTTAGTTAAAATGCACATTTTATTTAATTACCTAGCTTTTTTACTACCTGAATAATTTTAGGCTGGTTTCAAAAAGGAGGAGGCACCCAACACGGTGTGGAATATACGTTGAATTTTATTAAAATCTGTCCAGTGGTTTTCTAGTGATACGTTCCCAGACAGACAGGTCAAAATTCTAAAACCTATCGATTCGGCCTCTGTATCGATAATAACGACTGTTTTAATAAGATTTTCCGAAAAATATTAAATGTACAGATTCGACTCAGAATTTTATATTTATATTTTATATGTATAGATTACCTTAAACTACCAAAAAACATGATTATTGTAATTCAAAGCAATACATACCACACACGCTCCAGTACTGCCGTCAGTACTTCCAGCACACAAATGTCCATCATTCAATGGCAAACTCAACGAATATCTATCCCTACATAGCTGTAAAGGTAAAACTGGTACTTCCGCTTCTAATAACACATCTGTCAATGTTCCGTTTGTCTGTTCACGTCCCCAGCCCGTCGCGTAGCACTCATCCTTGAAATCAATCCCGTTATTATCATCAATGAATGGATCTATTTCTTCACCATACATTAGTTTCTTGTCACTTCTATTAATTGTATCGAATTTTGATTTAGTTTTGATAAGCTTAACAACGCTGTCTAAACTTGCGCTATCGTACGCTACGTCTTTACTTTTTTCAACTTTTTCTCTACCTTCATCATTTTTCCTTTCAGTTGGCCTGTTTGAATTGTTTGATACGCGTACGTTGTATCGGCTGTTGTGTTTCTTTGTAATCCCTGAGAAGACGTTTTTAGTTAAATTGTTCAATTTTTCTAAATATTTGACAGCTGTATCTGGATCAGGTCTGGCTGGACGTTGCTTTTTGTTCATTTCACTTTCAGATTTCATGAAAAATGACGTGCTTCTCTCAGTATTGTGATTGCTAATGGGTATATCGTAGGAGGGTAAACAAATAGTGCGAATTCGACTTCCAGGACTGACGTCAGCTGCCCTTATCATTTTCATCAGAGCTGAAAAAAAATTGATACTGAAATTCTCACATTAAAAATTTTACAAATCAATTTATTTTTCTTTTCATTTAATTCACCTGCTATCTCCATAGACATTTAATAGATTATACTACTTTAATTAAACTATACCATTTTTGTTATCATTTTGAAAGTTAATTTAATCACAGTTAAATTTTACTAACAGATTCTTTAGGCCACTAACGGTATGTATAGATTGAAAGTTTGAAGTAAACAAACATAAAATATTAAAAAAAAAAGCTCTAGCTTACTTGTATTATAATAAGCTGGAGACTCACCTATATCATGTTGATAATTATGGAATCGCTGATGCAGGATAATACTTTCAATAGGAACGTAAGCTCCTCGCTGTTCAGCACGATCCCACTCACCCAGAACTGCGGTCCAGAGGGCTGGCAACGGAAGGTTGAAAAGGTCACTGGAATGTATTTTTTTTTATTAAACAGGATCCCAACTGGGTAAACAACATGCTTTATGTAAACAATATGTTTTATTAACATAATTACTATATATATATATATATATATACAATTTAAGAAGATTTTGGTTAAACAAATGTAAAAAAAATAACCTACTAAGAGTGGGGAACAATTATTATAAAGAAATTATTTAGTTTATTTACTCCTAATCAAGTTAAAGGTTTTGAGTTTATTTTACAATTATAGTTTTTTCCGTAGTCGGATCATAGATTTTTAATTTTAATATATTTTTTTATTCGACTGCGGTGAAGTCCAAAGAGGGGTTAAGTGTTTAACCTGTATGTATGTACATTAGACATACAAACACGAAGCAAGACTTGCAGCAAGTTAGAGTCTCCAATTGCATAATCCTGTGTTAACTTTTTCCCTTCTTTTTTTTGTGTATTTTACGCAATCGGTATTTTAATTTTCTTAATAAAATTAATAATATTAGTAAATATAACAATGAAATCAATAATTACTTATGAATACAATGCGCGGTGGTCAGCAGCCACTGCGGGTGTATGAGCACGCCGCCACACCAGTGTCCGATCAGACCGTAGTTGGGATGAAGAAGTTGCAGTGACACCTGGAATTAGCAAGTTACAATTAAATTACCTTACATAATATAGATAGCTAAATACTTTAATGATCACTTTAAAAGTACAAGAAATACAAACAAATGCTAGAGACTACAGAAATATCCTAAAGGCAAAGATGTATTTTCTATACAGGTAAATAAAATAGAAGTGTCTGTTTGTAATGTCAAAATAACATTTGTTTACTAAATGCATCTGGAATTATATACGGTATTTATAAGAAAAACACAATTTTTAAAATTTTTGTCGTCTGTCTGTCTGTTTGTTCCGGCTAATCTCCGAAACGGCTGGGCTGATTTTGACGGGACTTCCACTGGCAAGTAGTTGATGCTATAAGGAGTAACTTTGGCTACTTTTATTTCAGTAAAAGAATTAGGGTTCCGCTCAATAAAAAATGTACTTAGGGACGAACCCGAGCGAAGCGAGCGTGAGTCATTAGTAAATGATAATCTTAAAAAGCAAAATACAAAATTAGATCTAAATCGTTAGATGCGTTTTCGATGTACACAAAATAAATTTATATATACAAGAATTGCTCATATAAGATTTTACTTGTAGGCTTTACCTGCCACGGCCACGCGCCTCTTTTAGATTCCCGGCCTTTAATGATACGAAGTTGTCCCGCCGATCGCTCCCGGGGCTGTCTAGTGTGTCTCCGCAGGGGCACTCCACATTCTGCAATAAAAAAACATCAATCAAAAATCTAAAATCTTCAAATACCCTTAAAAGTTAAAATCCACTTCCTTCCCTTAACTTCCTAAATGAATGTAAAAATTCTTGATATTTCAATGGAAATATCACTGTTTGATATTTCAATAATAATATCACAAATATCACTATTTAATATTAATACTTGTGTTCAATTAGCGATCTGACCGTAAATAATAATCATATTTTTTTGGTAACACTAAAGCTTGTCAACAGCCAGCTTTACTTGAAAGCTCAAATTTTCTAAGCTCTAAGTTTGGAAAGGCAAAGTATTTTACATACAATATAATTCATTTGCTACATATCTCATAATCTGATTATAATTAGGAAGTTTATTTTAGTTCATTATGTTGAAGGCACGAAGCGTGACATCGCGTGTGCAAGTGTTCCGCGTGGTAATGGTTTCATAGAGATAGATAAGGAAACACAATCGATTCACTTTTGTTTTTATTATAGAAAATCATACTAAGTAGGTATTACATTTTTCCCCAAATATCTATACTAATATTATAAAGTGGCAGAGTTTGTTTGTTTGTTTGTTTGAACGGGCTAATCTCAGTAAATACTAATCCGATTTGAACAATTATTTTTGCATTAGGTATCCCGCTTCTTGAGGAAGGCTTTATAGGCTATATAAGGGAGTAGAGCAATAATATAATATTATACAGTCTATGTATCTATTCCATACTAACTGTTAAAACGTACCGTACATATTATGTATAAATAGATAAAAACAAAACATTTCAGTGCCTTTTTGTCCTATGTTAGTCAAGCGATTTTCTTTTTTTTTATTTAGTAGCTTTTTTATTGACGAGCTGTAATGTTATCACTAAAAAGAAGTTTTATAAATACATTATGATTATGTATTTTCAATAATTATGGTTTAATTTACTACTGGACGAGCATTAGTGATTACCTCCGTTTATTTATAAACACGAAAGTGTAGGTATTATTAGCTGCTTATCCGTGAATGAAACGATGAATTTGGTTCACTATCTACGATGTTAAAATATATACGCACTTAGAATAAGTATAAAAATAACATGAACTTTTTACGGGTTTCAGGAATAGTATAAACTTAATTTCCTGCTAGAAGAAAAAAATGCTTTGTTTTTTTTTTAATTAAATTAATTAAGGACTCATTGGACTATGGAATATGGAACGCAAGTTTGTACTTAAAATATCTTTTCAATCACAAAATTACACCAACACTAATTTGTCTTAAAAATAATGATTTTTCTACTATCAATTTATTTATGTTATTGAATGTATTAATTACTAAATTGTTTACATGTTTAGAAGTCGACATTTTTTCTAATGGGACCTGGGAATAACCTTTCCTTCGAAACAGAATTAAATAAATCTTTTAAATTTTTATTCAGTTTAATTAGTTGCATTTTTTTTAAATTAACAATAAAAAAATTAAAAGCAATCTATTTCTTTAATTATTCATGCAAATAATGTATTTGCAATTCTATTTAAATTATAAATGCGAAAGTTTGTGAGGATGTCTGGATGTCCTGATGTCTGAATGTATATATAGTTGTATGGATGCTTGTTACTCTTTCATGCAAAAACTACTAAATGGATTTTAACGAAACTTTACAATAATATAGCTCATACATCAAAATTACACATAGGCTACTGTTTATCCCGGGAAAATGTACGGTTTCCGTGGGATATATTAGTTTTTGTTTTTCTAGAGGCGAACCCGAACAAAGCGAGGGTGAGCCGCTAGTCAATAATATATTTGTTAGTTGATTTTTTTTAATAAATCACCATATAATTATAATGGCAACACTCTACCTACGCACGAGCACGGGAAAAAGGAAGCGCCTTCATAAGTAATATGTCGCTGTCATCGAATAAGTTTCACTTTCTTTGTGAATTTACAATGACTAGTTACACTCCTTTTACTAGCAACCTAAGCAAATAGTTACATATTTAACACATTGACATTTACAATTATTCCATATATAGTTTTTATTGTAAATGAGATAATCTGATGGAACATTTTTATATTCACGCATTTAAATAAAACTAGTTGTTCACAATTAATGTTAATATTATAACAAAAAGCATTTACATTTTTTATTAATGATCAAAAAAGTTATAATTACCAAATCATTTAAAGTTTCTGAATTAATATACTAAGAAAATTTTTTCACCGCTAAAATATTCAAAGTTACACAGTACACACATAGCTACAAATAAAAAAAAAAAAAAAAAAAAAAACAAAAAATGCGTAAATAATATATATATTTAAAATATACATACATAAATTATATACAAATACTTGGGTATAGAACTATAGTTAAAATAAAAATTTTCATAAAATACCTAAGTCAATATTTTAAGTATTCAATGTTACACGCCTAATTGAGTAGGTAATTGTGCAGCATGAATAATGTATCAGTTACGTCACCATCGTTACTCGTAACGAGTGACCGTTATGTACGTTGTTATGTGATTTGTCGTATGACATGAGTTTGAGTATTGCTCTAATTCATAATGCTTTGAGTTCGAGGTTGTGTGAGACAATTGAATTTTGAAGTTGAATTGTCCTTTTAATATCGTCCCCATGACCGATCTCGTCCAGGGCAGCCAATCTCACTGAGACGCAGAGATATTATAGTGCTTAAGTATACGCGCAGGCACAATTGCGCTCTCTATTCCTTTTACTCTCAAAGTCCGATGGAACGATACTTCGACACGACCGATAAGAGTTAAAGAGCAGGACCGACAGCTTTACGTGCTCTCCGAGGCACGGGGGTGCAACACCGCCAACTACCCAACTCTTGGCTGCTACAGAAAATCTCAATAACTAAAGGCCCGACCCGGGACTCGGACCCAGGACCTCCGGATCTACAGCCGTACATACTATCCACTTTTTGTAATCGTTAACACCAACATTCAAAAAGTTCACACAGTTTTGTGAGATCATATGTTTAACAAGTTTTTAAACTTTTATTAATAATAAATTATAAGTATGTAAATATTGATCTTAATATTTGCATGACACTAAAGCTACATAATAGTTGAGGCCAAAAAAAATGACTTTCGATCTACATTTTTATATTCATTAATGCAAAACAAAATGATGCTGTTTGAAAACCAAATGCTATGCAAATTTAGATGTGACCATGAACCATCTGTGAGTTCGATTTTCGGAATTATTTACGGAAATATTTGTGTAAAATATACCTATTGTAAGAAAAGGTCATACAACTTCCTATGGAAATAACCACGCTTGATGTTTCTATAAAAGATACCTTCAGAAATGAATTTATTAGGTAGAAAACTGGTGTCGTCATTGTTACTTTGAGAATCAGCATGCTAAAGCCGTAATGGGCTGATCATATCTGCATCAGAACCGATAGCTATTGGAGCAAGTAAGATCTCGAGTAAAGACCATGTCTATGGCAACGTAGTGTAGGATACCCTCTTACTGCTAGAGGGTGTGACGAGCTGCGCCATGCGACTGGTAAAGTCTGGATGCATAAAAATCACGATCAAGCTCAATGGCAACCTAGGAGAGGTATCTGTCCAACAGTAAAATGAAAAAGGTTGATGATGACATTGTAGTAAAAACGCACGTAGAAGAAATAGATAGTAGGTACGTTTTCTCTACCTATAACGAACATAACGTAAGGCGGAAAATATAGTTTGTTTTACCATTGAGCTAATGTAACGTTGAGAAGGAAGCTGTATAGTATCTTTGATGGCTTTTAGTAAAACCTTAAAGTCTAATACTTTAAGAAGTCTTATGTGTATTGATGTATGTTTCCTTTAATTTTTATTATAATTATTTTTGATTAAGCCACGCTCTTCTTTTAATACAACGTAAATAAATGCAATAGTCCATATTGTGCGTATTAAACAAAGCTACGAAGTATGTATTCAGCCCTTTTTTAACGTCCAACTGCTGGGCACGGGCCTACCTTCAATACGAAGGGGATCAGGCCATAATCCACCACGCTAACCAAGTACGGGTTGGTGGACTGCACATGACTTTCGAAAACTTGTAAGTAAAGTTCTCTCCGACATACAGGTTTCCTCACGATGTTTTCCTTCACCGTAAGACATGTGGTAATCATGTTGGAAATGATGACATTACATGAAAATAACAGAGGTGCGAGATCCGGGATTTGGACCCGCTTGACGCTTCGCTGCCTTCGATACGAAGTGCCCTTATAAATTTACATAAATAACTACTTAATTTTAAAAAGTTAATAGGTACAATTTTAACTGCCCACAGTATTACTTCTACCTTCTAAGCCGTAAGCACGTAACGGGGCTTTTTGCGACAAGAAAGCAAGTTACGCCACCGCCAGCGTAATTCACGTAAATAACTTTTACAAAAAAACAAATGATAGAGATACCTTGTTCTTATTGCATCAGTTTCACTGACTCGCCGTAGTAAAAAAAAATGTATAAGTTTTATAATTTTTACTATAGTTCTAGAATGTTCTTGGAGTAGCCCTCAAATTTTATTTTAAAAGTAAACAGAATATGTCTAACTGATTGGGATACATGTAATAAAATTCTAACTGAGTCGAATCTGTACAATTACATTAAATATTGTTTTGGAAAATCTTACTGAAATAGTCATTATTTACATTTTTTATTTCTGTATAATAGAAAATGTAAATAATGAATCCATATTTTTTATATATTTTTGATCTGTCTGGTAACGCACCATGAGAAAACCACTGGACAGATTTTGATTAAATTTGGTATGGTAACAGCTGGTTATCCGGGACAACATATACATACATAGGATACTTTTTATTGTGGGAAAAATATATCATCTCTGAGAAACCTATACTAAGCGTTAAATTCATGATTAATACAATTATTTACATCAAAATATGTCAAATGAAAACGCCGCAATACTACCTCGACATATACATAATATGTTACCAGCGAAACCCGATTTTAGGCCAAACTAGATTGTCCTGGCCTGAAAACTGGTTTAGCCGGTAACACATTCATAAATATATTAGTGATAAAGGTAATCTTTCTGCATTTTTTTATATCCTTAATTTAGCTATCAATTGAATTTTTATTACGAATAGTAACAGTAGTAATAGATACTTAACTTAGTAGAAATAGATACTTAAAGTACAAAAATCACTCTTCATTCTATCTCGATCTTTTTAGTGCAGTTCTGTAAGAACTTCCATGTAACTCAACAGCTTAACCCGCTAACATAGTTAAGTATATAATATGACTAGCGACTCACCCTCACTTCGCTCGGGTTCGTCCCTAGTTTGATTCCCCATATAAACTTTCATCCCTATTTTCAACCCCTTAAGGGATGACTTCCGGGATAAAAAGTATCCTATGTCCTTTCTAGAGTCTTAAACTAACTTCTTACCCAGCTAAATCGGTTCAGTAGATCCAGAGATTCCCTCTACAACGTCACAAACTCACAATCTCTCAAACTCACAAACTTTACCTCATTATAATATTAGTATAGATTATTGACAGAATAGTTATATTGTAAGAGAAAATTGACTCAAATTACTAAAAACCGGGCAATTTTGTTTAATAAAATTATATTTGTCTACTTGACCGATATTAATGAAACTTTATTCTTATTTCATACTCATATATAAGATAAGGCTCATGTAATTTTTGGCGATTTAGAACCAAAAGACAAAAGTCTGTTAAATAGAAATAAAGAATAGATTATGCATTTTTTCTCTACATTAAACAAAGGCTGTACATTTTCATTGTACGTAATCCAAATAATTTTATTTTATAACAAGTAATTTTGCGGTAAGAATGATATAATTTTATAATTTACATTCGGTGTTGGATTACTTATAATTTACATTATATTTTGACGTAACAGATAAAAATAGATTTAGATCTATAGCAATTTGACTAAGACTAGCGACTCCGGCTTTGTACTGTAGTATTATTATAATTTGATGAATGATGATTAAAACATGAAAATATCAGAGGTGCGAATCCCGGGACTTAAACCCACTTTCCCAAGCGAGCGCATTACCACTGGGCTACCACTTCCTCATATTTTATATATGTAAATTATGACTGGAACTATACTGAAAATTTTACATACCTATGTATAATATAAAATACAACTTTTTAGAATAAAGTATGAATAAAAAATTATACTATATTCTTTTGCATTTTTTAAGCATTAGTTCTCTTCTCCTTGAAAGAGAGATAACATAATATTAGTATAGTAATTTTTTTTTTTATTATAATAAAGTTCGTTAGCTACTTTTATTTATTTACATTTATTTACTTATAGCTTACTATCCAAATGTTATTTGTATACTATTTAAAAACATAAATGTTTGGTTTCATATTTAGTTCTATGACACTCTGTCCAAATATTATTCTGTATATATATATATATATATATATATATATATATATATATATATATATATATACTTATATATTGTTATTTATATTGTAATAAGCTGACTAATTCTTTACTTTTAATATGATATATATACTGTACAATACTCAAGCCATTAGAATTTAATTTTACGCTATTTAATAACAATACAAACATATATAATTTAATGGTACATTACAGGTCGTCCATCCGAAATAAATAAATTTCTCAATAAGAATTCCACAGTGACAGACACACGGACGGACGGCGGCCAATTAAGATGTATCCGATAACAATTACTATTACAAATTGATTGACGTATTGATAAATTATTGTATTGAGGATTAGTGATGTTTTTTCCTAACTATTTTTGTAGCCAAGTGTCACGCCCCGACTACGAATGAGATTTTTTACTTGATAATTCGGTATGATCATTATTTTTACATGGAATTAGCCCTTTTTCTAATATTGGCGGACTTCACATGTCTTTCGATCGAAACTTGCTAGATTCTCTCAGGCAGGCAAGTTTCAAACATTTGCACATGAAAATATCAAAGGTGCGAGACCCGGTATTTGAACCCGCATCACTCGGTTTCCCAAACAAGCACGCTACCACTGAGCTTCCTCTGCCTGCCTGTACTGTATCATTTTGAAATAAATAAATTTAAAATGTCAAGTTTTATGTGTAACTAATAAGACCCTTTAATCTTAAGCCTTTTTGTATAGCTTGTTAATTACAAACAAAATTACCAACAAAATCGATGCCCTAGGTAATTAAAATGAGTGAAAATCATATAAAACCTCAAGTTGAGAGAAAAAATAAATATTTCACTTTATTATTATCTTGACAACCCTGAAGGAAGTAGAACAATGTCTGACTAGCCTGCATATTACGGAGGAAGTTGCATGTTAGATCTCCAGTTAGGTTACTCGTTGACCGAGAAATAGAAAAAGGTATATTATTTGAGTAATAAATTACTAATTTTAGGCCGTGACATCCTAATACTTCTTCCTCGTATGCTTCATCTATATCCTTGCCCTTTAACGAAATCTATACAATGATTAAAGAGTAAAAAGATAAAAGACCGACAGACAGAACATTTATAATACATATTAGTATGTGTAGTGATCGTACAGTTATTGACTCTACTATTGACTTACCCCTTAAAAAGTAGACCATGAGTTATTCTATGTCATAGCCTATATGTGTACAAAATTACTTCCAAATTTTGTCCAGCCGTTTTAGCGTAAAGAAGCGTAACAAACAAACAGACACACAAACACAAACTTTCGCATTTATAATAGTCCGATATATTATATATACGATAGAACATTTGCATTATACGTATGTTATGTTTTTAACATCAATAAGCTCGTCAAGAGCAATAACAAAAAAAGAAAAAGAAAATCGACTGACAAACATAGGAGAAAAAGCACTGAAAAGTTTTGCCTTTGCCTATTTATATATAGATTGTAAAATTCTAAAGTTATTGTAACTAC